GATGTTTAAGTAATTTATCAATGAATGTGGTGGTAGAATTAAGGTGGTTCCAGTGAAAATAGGGGGGAAGATTGGAGAGATTCTTTTTAATATAATTTCTACTAAAATTTAAACTAAACGAGACACCATATTATTGACAGTTTATGATCTTAAATAGGACGCTCAATTTATGATGATCCCAGCAGCGGAGCCATAAATTATAAAATGCAGGGGTAAAATGATATATTTCTCATTAGTAGGGTCAAAATTTGATTTTTTGAAATCTGAATTGTAATATTGAATCCTCCCCTACTCAAAAAAATTTAGGAGAGGCACTGTCCCTACTGATCCCTCCATCTCCGCCACTCGATGATCCCAAAACACCGATGTATATACTCAAATATGAGCAACCATTTATAACTTAAAATCTTTGAAACAAATCAAGATCTGCAAATTATTTTACATCAACTATTTTAAAGGGTCAAGAAACTCTCACCTATTTCAAGGGGAAGCAATTTCTTTTTATAAAAATAAAAATTAATAATAAACTCCAACATAAAGAAACTATAGATATTAAATAAACGACAAAGAAAAAAGAAGAAGAAGTTATTTAGACCATCTCCCACATGGTGGGAGATGATAGAGCCGAAGGTAGGTATATTTAAGGTTTGATAGAAATTTTAAAGATGACAAGTCATTATGCATCAAGGTTCTTCCGATGTTACCTGAGCAAAATGAGATAGCACACGATGACGAAAGAAAAAAATAAATAAATAAATCATCAACAAGTATTTATGTTATTTTTAGCGGATATCATACAACTAATATCTCATTTCACTCTTCCAATCTGCCTTCTCTATATATTTATATTTGTGTGTGTGTGTTTTTTTTATACTTTGATCTTTAAAAATCCTTGTTTTCAATGTAAGGGTATTATGTGTATCGAGTCTGAAAAAAACTCTAACCTCCTCATCTCTCTTATAATAGCGATTTAGCATGCATATACCAATTTACAATAGTCAAATTCAAACTCTCCCCTAGATTCACAACCACGTACGTTTTGGATATGAATTAAGAAGGTTGTTAAATTCCTTTTCCTAGTCAATTAATCTGGGCGCCCTATCTAGTACGTGTTGAGTTGATACCATTCTTTTCGATGTTTGACAAGATGAATCGCTAATTAACTAGTCAATTAAAACAATTAAACTTCCCCCAACGTACATTAGAGGATAAGAGAATAATGATAAGAAAATCAAATGAACCACAAGCAACTCATCATACGCTTTCATTGTTTTTGTGAACTAAATTTCCTTAACAAAATTATTGTTTGGTCAATAACCACACAAGCAACTGACACACAGGAACGATAACGAAATATGTGTCGAGAACATCGAATTAATGTGCTCGACAATAAGTAGTTTTCAGACATTTGTTCTTTTCAAAAATAAGTAGCCACATAACTAGGGTTTTTTCGTGGTACAATCCAATATGTGGCGGTCGAATACCTCAACATTTAAATTGGCCGGTTTGAAAGTTCGTATTATATCAGAATCTATGGTTTTCAAACACTTCCCCATCGTGAATTCGCTTTTCCTATGCGACAGGAAAATGTTGAGTTCTTGGTGAATATGCATGGAACCTCACAAAGCTTACAAATTAAGATTGTCATAATATAGAACCGTCGAGAGAATAAATCTTAGGTCACAGTCGCAATGTTTGGTTACGAGTTCGACTTTTCATGCACCCAAATACTTTGTACAGATCTATATTGGAGTTACTTAAATCTTGTTGGATTCAATTGAATTTTCATGCTGGAGTTCAACCTCTAGATATATGCATTACGCCCTTCTCCGTCAATTATTACAGGTTTCCGCTCTTTAATTTCATAATTTACACTTCATGATATCAACCATTTAATAAATTAAGTCGTCATTAGAATACATTCTATTCGAATTGTGGATCCGTAATGCCTTAATCTAGTGATCTAGAAACTGTCCAAATTTAGCCCACTTGCAATGCCTATTAAGTATTAATTTGAGAATAATAATTTGTGCAGGAAAATTTTGGAGGAAATAAATCACAATCATTCATTTTTAGCACTTTTTATTTAGAGCTTAAGCATTTAGGGCATAATTTTGATGATTGACACTTCATTATCTGTTAATTTTTACTGTAAATTTTTTCGGCATGCATCACTATTCTGAATTTAATTCTGCATCGGCTCATAATCATTCTTGTGATTCTTTGTTCAGGAATTTAGGACAAAAGAAATTAAAGTGTTTTGTTTTCCGACTTGTCGTTGAGTTAAATTGCCAAGTGGATGCTGGTGTATGGAAGATTGCAAGAAATAAGAGCCACAATTTTTGTGATTTGATATGATCATTGACAAAATCAAACGGGCCATGTTTGCAACTGTTTCTTTAAGCTGCCAATCAATTTATACCATGCATTCCAGAAAAGAAAAATAAAAAATTTATTCATCATTTGCTAGGTACTTTTCTTCACAGAATTAATAATAACTAATTCAAAGTCAGATAACAAAAAAAATTTGAAATTTAGTAACAATCCTCTTGCTTCAATTCTAATTTTACCTTTACAAGTAAGAAGAGATTAAAATCGGTTAATAACAAACTCTTGTCCACATGGTAAAAGTATTAAATCAGGTTAACTATAACTAAACATAACATATATCAGTGATTAAAATATTTTTTGAAAAAGATTTGTTTCTTAAAAAAGATCTATCCCACTTGAATGCAGATTAGTTGAAACAATGATTTCAGATGTATAACATACTCAAAAGAAAATATGTTATCAAAATATACAAGGTATATTCGTAACAACGTTATAAGATACAAATTTTTTTTAAAAAAAATGTAAAGGAAAAAGATTCAGATATTGACAGTAGAAATATAGATCTTAAAATGAGAACGAAATAAGTAGAGAGCTTCACATTCCACTTATTAATGATGGAAAACAACATGCATCGAGGGGTTTCTCCAGAATGTGCTTTTGTTATCAGTCAATTTCTTTGTTTTCCAAATTAGTATTTCATGAAATATACAGCAAATTATCACATAATATTATCAGCCCAAAAGATGAAAAGTAATATCGCCAAATCCTATCAGTTTTGTATCGATTTTTCTTGTCAAAAGGGAGCCCCGGCCGCCTCTCCAGCAATGTGTAATTGATGTATTTATGCATGATTAAGCCCCGGCCTAGCAAGTCATTCTTTTTGCTATTCAGCAATAGCAACTCTCATCATGTTCTACATCACATCAAATATCGATAACTAATGCATTATGCATCTCTTTTGTGCGTCTGTGCGCGGGCGCGTTTTTTTTTTTTGGGGCGGGGGGCACATTTTTGAATGTGATTACAGTAACAATAACATTAATGAAGCAGGGCTATTTCGAAATTGGAAAAGAAATATGGTATCATATTTCATAATTTTGAGTTGATTACTTACAACCCTGCCCTCTAGATATTATTTATATTTTCCTGTTCTTTAAATAAGAACATTAAATCATTTGGACTCAAATTAAGCCCTTTCTTGTAATAGTCTTTCAGCAATATTGTAATTTCTATCTTTGACATTCGAGATTTAACGATTGAGTGCCGAAACACAAAAGTTTAGCAAGACAACTCGAATTACTTATACTTTATTTGTCACATCTCTTACACCAAGTACTTAAATTCTTAATAATTACAATTAGCACATGCAAAGATGTACACTTGTCTACTAGATACGCACTTCGTAGTAGCATATTTCTCGCAGTTCTTGATTAATTGATTAACTTCCATGTTTGATAATTCTTTATTTTACGCATGATTTGCTTGAACTATATAATGTCTTTTCTTTAGCTCAAAGCAGTTCTCCACCTGTTAGCTTATTATTAGCTCCGTGACGTCAAGACAAAAATTTCAGTTGAATCTTTAGCTATTTTTGTGTCTTTGAGACATGACTGCAATGCAATGTAGATAAGTGATTTGATCAGATGTGTTTTTTTCCCAAATGAGAATGGAACAAGTACCCAATATCAATGAATACAAGGCACGCATGACTAAAATTTTTCCTTTATCTACTCAACCACTAGGGCTATGCAATGATTGAGATTTTTTTTCCCGTTCCAAAATATTCGTCATGTTTGTTTGTTAAAATACGGTAATTATTCAAGACATGTGATTCTGATTGTGGAAAATTTTTTCTCCTTCACCGGCGATAATCTCTGGTTTGCATTTCTTTTTCTGATCGATCTAGTTCAACCCTCGTTAATTCTGAAATTTGACTGGCACAACTCATTGAGCTTATTTAATCTGCAAATGATAAAAATTCTCCTTCGGTGCCACAAAAAAAAAAAAAAAAAAAAAAAGTTGTAATTTGATAATGCTTGATTTACTACGATCGAAAATGTATCTTCTCATCTCAAAAAAACTAGTCAACAGTGTTAATAAGGAAAAGAAAAAATTGAACTTCTCCTCTATTATGCAAAATGTATTAAAGTTAGAAAGTACTTCCTTCTGTCCGTATTTTAGTTATATTTTGAAATAGTGACTACGATCAACATCATTGTATATCAAGTGAACTGTTAATTAAATCTTCCTCTGTCCTAAAATTATTGTTCAGTTTGCGTTTTTATTTTTAGTACAATTTGAACCACAATTGTAAATCCAAACTGGAAGTACTAAAATCAAAAATCCAAATTGGACAATAATTTTGGGACGGAGGGAGTAAAATATTTATGTTGTTATAAGATTGCAATCCTACTTTTGTGAATGGATTGCATTAAATTTTCTTTTCCTTTTTTTGGGGGGTGTTATCCTCCTATAGAATTTAAGAAAAGGAAAAAAAAAAAAAGATTCCTGACCAGAAAGTGTAAAAATTGAATTCCATTTATTGCCAAAATATATACACATCCTATTTTGTAATGATTTGAAGGGGAATAAAAAAATGCTATGAGATTGAAGAAAAATTTGGGGTCAATCGATCCATATTGGTTACACATTTGTATAATTGTTCTCTATTATAATGGTCTGTTTTGTTTTCCAAGGTCTGTCACAATGGGTCTACGCCGCTGAGTGATGTTATTTCCTGCATTCAGAACTGGGCCTGGCCTGGAAGAATCTTCAGTTCTTGTTTGCTCTGCTTGTTGTGACGCGGCCCATCCCTCAAGTCCCAATGAAGGCTGGAAGTATCTGAAGGCCACAAACAGCATGAACACTGCCCAAACAAACAAACAAGTGATAAGTGTGTATTAGTCACAAACTCACATTAAAACCGGCCCACGTTTGCTTAATTTTCATTTCATTGTTTCTTATTGTCCCAATAATTTAAATATCAAAATAGTTGTATAGTTATTGTGATCCAAAGACTTGAATTTGTTAACCGAATTATTTATTCACGGTACTACCTAGGAACCAAAAAAAAAAAAGGAAAAAATAAAAGTAAAAAAAAAAAGAAAAAAGAAGAGAGATTGTAGATATTTACCGGCCCAAATTCGGGCAACCACAGAGGACAAATTCCAAACAATGGTGAAGATACCGAAAGCAACGGCCTTCTTATGAGAACATGACTCCCAGGCGTCCAGAAATCGGTGGATCCAAAATGTAGCTTCATCCACACATTAGAGAATTTGTCAGGAAATTAAGATCAAAATAACATTTTTTTTAATATTGAAAAGCATTGCAAATAGATGAATACAAAAAAAAAAAAAAGCAAACCTAATACCATCAAATTGGCAAAAAATTAGGTGCGGTAATGACGAAATATTGGGACCCCAACGTCATATATTCAATTATTATTGCGTGGGTCTAACAAATTTGAATTTCTATTACATTCTTTATTATTCGATAATTATTTTAAAACGGATTAAATAAATATGTTTGGTTAAGGGACTTAACCGACCCGTGAAAAAAAATATACACTGTAGTACTACAATCTAATGTCTACCTCATTGTAGGACCGACCGACGGACAAACAATAATGACAAAGTAATAGATAATGCACATGATAGCTGCCCTTTGATATATTATACTCTCCTCCTCGGTCCATATTATAAGACATTTTGATTTCGTCTTAAGTTTTATGTAGGATCTTTTTTTAATTAAAATAAAAATCTTAAAAACATTTCATAATAATTATGAGAATACAACGAATGTGAAAATATATTTTTAAGTTTTTTTTCTAATTAAAAAGATATCCTAGATTAAACCTAAGAAAAAAATCAAAATGCCTTATAATAAATACCGGAGGGAGTACCTCCGTCCTAAAAAAATAGTCCATATTGAATATACTCTTTTTAATACAAATCTCAAAACTCAAAGTGGACTATTTTTTTTTGAGACGGAGGGAGTAGCAGGCATGAAATTGAAAGGTTTGCAAAATAGAGTTACGCTTTCCTTACCGAATGCTGATAATTGAGTTGAGTAAGATGAGCAGATTTTTGGCACCGTAAATACTCCAAAAAATCCTAATGATGGAAAGCAACCAGTAAAGATGTCAAATTGGCATTAAAATGTTATACAATGATAAATCACTTGTACATAATTAAAATTTATTTTAATGTCCGAGAATAAGTAACCATAGTTACATCACAGGTCATTCGGTGGAACCAACATTCAGAAGATAACTAAGATAAGCATTATTATAGTACCGTTACATGCAAAAGGAGAGAAAACTCACCCAATTTGGTCATTTTCCAAATAGTGATGGAGCTACCGCACCGAGCCAAAACAAACAGCAACACTGCCATCTGTTTTTGTCAGGTTTTCCACAGAATACATTGCACCAGATTATTACACACCCAAAAAAATGTCAAAAAACACACAGTCACACACTAACAAAATCTTACCCCCAAAAAAAAAAAAAAGGACAGTAATTTGATGGGGGGACCCACGTACCTTCATTGTCGTCAGAGGATCCCCAGAGAAAAGGGCTCTGATATTTACCAAGAATTCATTCACATATGGAAGCACCAAGTTCACAAACCAAACTGCTTCTTGGTGCCCGAATACATAGTTCATCCTCGAATCATCATCATCTGATTCAACACCTCCCCTAAAAAGATTGTACAATGTTGGAAGTCTAAAGGAAAGGTTTTATGATGGTGAAAAGTGAATTAGTTGAAAGGATGTGGTTTTTAGTTTTTACCTGGAAATGAATGATCTGAAGAGGAAAATTGCAGCTAGGTAGACCAAGGCCAGATAAGACAATACCGAGATTACACTGTCCCAAAATTGACAATAATTCAACACATTTTAGCCAAAGTTCTTCCACGGAAACAAAACAGAGGATTATTTAGAGTAATGATTATGACCTGATGTTGAGATCTTTGGTGTATGAAGATGACAAGATAACAAACGTTCCAATACCAAACACTAATGCTGATTTTGATACATTTCTCCACATTACCAAGTCAACTGGAAAAGAAAAACAGAGGCGGCAAACAAAGAACATCAAATTAGCCTTCTTTCGGTCATCAAACAGATGAAATCCAATCCAACCCAGAAAGTAAAAAATCTTACCAAAACTCTGTACTTTTCTGTGGGTTCTTGGAATTCCATCGAATTCATCTGAAACTTGAACTCAGATCAACAAGAAGTTCACTACATTGTACAAATGAAAAATGGCCTAATTTCTGTATCTGTATCACGTTGGCATCTAAAGGAATGTTTTTGTTTACCTGGTTTCGTTGTTGGTGGACTTGGATGAACTCTGGCATGGCTCATTAATGGAGGAGACTGTTTCTTCACTACTGATGGAATTGACAGAGGTCTTTCATTGCTATGTCGGAATTTCTTTTCTTCCACCACAATCTTCTTTGGTTTCTTCTGCTCTGGTGTATTGACTTCCTTAACCACAAGACTTTTCTTTTCAATTTCAACTTCCACATCTTCATCTTCATTCCAGTCTTCTTCATCTTCATCAGCATCATCGAAATCGTCAATGTCTTCCAATTTAGGTGGAGATTTGTCCTGAACCAAATTGGTCGTGATCACCTTTTCTTCACAAACGCCAACTTCTTTGCAGTTTTCATCAGATCCTATTTTCTTGATTCCAACAGATTTCTTCTCATCAAGATTTTCACTTGATATAGAATTTGCTACAACCAACTGAAGTGAATTCTTCTTCTTGGCATTTTCATCATCATCAGGAGGAACCTTAATTGACTCCGATTTCACTTTTCTCAATTCAGAACTCTTTTCACTTCCATTATTATTCAAGGCCTTACTGGCATCTGATTTCAATTTCCTCAATTGGGTCGAATTCTTCTCAATTACAACGTCATTAGAATCAGTAACCAGCTTCCGGGATGCAGATCTCGTCTTCATTCCATCAACCGAAGTACTTAGCTCCTTGATTGCCGCATCAGATCTCGTTTTCTTATTCTGAATTATTGGACTTTTCTTATTAATCCCATCTGCCGACATGCTTATTTCTTTATACTGTTCATCAAGATTCTTGCTGTAAAGTTCGGATCTTTTCCGAGCAATCTGGATTGGGCTGCCTTCCAAACTCTCAGATTTCCAAGTCTTCCTCTTCCCACCTGACCCAACAGCAGGAGGAGGACTCTGTCTTGGCCTCAAATTCATCTTCTTATCCATTTCAACGGGAACAATAGCATTACAATCATTAGGGGTGACATCCATTTCATCATTTCCATTTCCTTCTGAACTGTCAACATTTTCTTCATCATTAAACACTTTGATCCCACCTTTGACTTCATCAAGCTTCATTCTGCTCTCCCAAACAGAGCCTGCCACCACAACACCCGTTCTTGATGATGCTGTCCCCCTTTTTCTTCGCCCCACATCCATATTTTTTTTGCTTCTATTGTAATTTGTAACTACTCTTGCTCAAAGATTGGGGACCCCCCCCTATTCTTGGTAATCAATTAGATTGTGACTTTGATTTCAAGGAATTGCAGTTGCAGACGGTGAAAGTCATGGAGAAAAAAAAAAAAAACAAAAACAAAACATTGGGATTCCTTCAGTGACAAAAAAAGAAAAAGCACTGCCTAATAAATAATACTAGAACTTTTCCCCTTTTAACTTTTTTTTACCTTTTGTTGTTTAGTCCTATTCGGGGATTTGGGTAACATATTTATACAGTAGAATCACATGTGTCTGGTAAAATATGAGTAAACTAAGTGTTAGTTTGCTGAAAAGTAATAGGGAAAATGTGGAGAGATGATGATTAGGTAATAAAACAGAGGATTTTGAAGACTTTTAGGTGAGTTTTTATTCTCTCAGACTGTCTCTCGCTTTTTTTGTGTCGAAGGATCTGTGTGAATGAGGAATCCTGTTTACCCCAGCTTAGGCAGGAAGAATTAGAGATACAAAAACTCCTCCATATATATTAATTTCTGTTACATGCAAACGCAAGGCTAAAGTAAACACTATAAAGATCTCCCTACTGGATTAAATTATTCCGACAAAATACTTTATCCCCTCTCCACCCATCATTGGATGAATAAAATCTCTTCAAAGCTAATATTCACACATGTATATGAAGACCCAATTAAATAGAGATAGTTATAATGTGGTATGAGTAAATTTCTTAAATCAATATCTTAGCTACGAAGCATGGTCTAATTAATTTTTTTTACCAGTCTGGTAAATTTCGTCATCATGACCTCAATAAAGAGGTTGAAGAGCGATCAGACTGGTTTACCGATCTCAAAACTTGTTTCACGTTTGTATTAAGTTATTTACCGTTTAAATGTATTGGTACAGAGATTAACTCAATTTACCAAATGTAAGCGATAATTTGAGAGATGTTGGAATTTAATTCATAAATGTTATTTCTCATTGAGTGCCGCCTAATAGGTGATTTTTCCGACATAGTACATAATGAGGGGAGATGTGATTAGCAAATGACGATTCATACTACAAAAAGATTGCGACAAAACACAAAAGTTCGTCTTCTTAGTTCATATCTTACAAGCCTTGACTGTACCTACGTAACTCCCTCACCGACACCTCTTTTTTTTAATCCTTCTTTTTTTTCCTATTTGTTGTGTCAAGGATGCACCGTAAATGCACAATTAATGTTATCTTTCAGCTGTAGATAATGGGTTTGCAAATGTTTCGACAAATCTTTTGTTTGAAAACGTTGGACTCGCAGTAGTTTAATTGGTCTGACGAGTTCGTCTTTCTAATTGAAACAAAATAATGTTTCCAATACATTCCTTTCATCACCATACTCATATTTACTTGATTTCAAGTAGGATGTCCAAGTGTTATAATATACGACTTGTCCCGTTTATTTCATTGGTTTACGGGTAAAAACTTGAGTTGTACTCCTGCTTTTTACACGACCCTCATGACACGTTCTTGGATTTGGTCCCTTAGAATTTGCAGTGCACGATGGGATTGAAAAATTCGTACTTTCGACCCCCAAAAAAAAAAAAAAGGATTTTAAGACACAAAAGAAAAGAAAAAGAGAGAATGAATTCTCTCTCAATTTCTGTCAACTGCTAATGATGTAGGAATTACTTGACAGGCATAAAAAAAAAAAAAAAAAAAGAAAACTTGACAGGCATAACGTTCACGTCACGTGTTTGGCGGTCTAACATCACGTTATCATGGTTTCGAATCTCGTGTCATATAGCCTAGTACCCCCACCCGACCCAGTGTACAATTCTCAGTGTCGTTACGTTTACAGGCAAATACCAAACCACCTGGGAAAAATGTTTTTTCCTTTTTCTTTGGGTTTGAAAAAATGTTATTCCTTTGGCATTTCCACAGTCCAGAAAAAGTAGCAGTTAAACTGGGATCTTAAGTCTTCAACTGGAAACCATTAGTAGAGCCATTCCCGTTATTTACTAAAATGAATAACTAATATTTAAAAACTAGCAATGAACAAAATGAAAAGGTTGCAATCCAATTCACGGACCACATAACGAAGGATGCATGAGAAAAAAAAAAGTCGAGCTAAAGCACATCAAGAGGTAAGTAGATGCAGCAGCACTGTATAAACTACAGCATTCCAGGCTGCAAACTTAACTAATTCTAACTGCTCTTCTTGACAGCAAGAGCTCAAGACATTTCCTCACATAACTAGCAACTCTAGTGTAACAGTGTCTAATTAAAGATTTACCAGAAATGAATCAACGAATCAAAGGTAAAAACGGGAAGTCTTTGAGTTGATACTGCTGTGTTTTTCCTTTTTTGGTAATATACAAAAGCCACCGACTTCAAACAGGTGCCGATATTCACATTCTGCTGAAAAAGAATTGAATTCATTAAACCAGGGACAAACGGGTAAGTTTGAATTATAAGAAGAGAAGAGAGAACATAGTTTCTCGCACACCTTCTTTGATTGGGTCCTAGAAACTACAAGAATTATGCTAACTGATGAACCTAAGTTCCCTGAAGTCCGCATGTTGATCCTCCTCTCACTATCAGAAATCCTACACCTATCACATAACTGAAACAGCTTCAGCTTTCACATTACTACAAACACAAAAATATAGATCGAATGGGCACGAGTATCCTGAATACCATTACCTAACTCCTGATTGGAGAAGAAATCATGTGTTCTGTTCCTTTCCCTGAAGTGCTTAACTTCAGTTTCTCTGCAGCTTCCTTTTCAGCTTTCTTTCTCTCGAACTCAATCTGCTTGCAGTTCTCCTCATGAGCTCGATTGAACATTCTCACAAAATTCAGAATAGTAGATATTACTGCCAAAGAGAACTCAGGACCCATCAGATGGATAGAAACTGTGAGAAGAAAAGATGACGAAGAAAGATGGGGAGAAAACTGGCAGAAAACTTACTTTTATGAAATGCACTCAAAAGAGATAATGGGTTTCCCTCAAACTTATAATTTGTTTCTTTTTTTCGAACCAATGATTTCTTAAGTACTTGAGATCAAGCACGATCAAAGTTACGTATGGTCCTCACACAGTTGGATCATTCATTAAGCACATCAGAAAATCATTCTCAGTATTTAAAGTTAGCCAGTATGAAAGGCTTGTTAGATTCTATGTCAGTATTAACAGATCTAATTGCAGATAACTGCAACAGAAAAGTAAATATCCCAATTTCATCCGACTCAGACACCAAATTCTGACACAGTATTGTGATCTGTCCTACCTTGTTCAAATGGACAACGGGATGGATCCTCCCCAAAGTAAAGAATCAATGCATCCACATTCCTACCCTGAAAAAATATTAAGTATTAGGAAAAATATGCAGAAGGACCAGTTCATGTGGTGTAGAACCTGAAAACCTCATTGACAGCAATTTTGGGATCCTAGAGCAATCATACCACTCCAGAGTACAACGAAGCCAAGGATCTCGCTTCACCTTCAGCATATGCTAGAAACTCCTTCAGAGCCTGAAAAGAAGTCCATGCCAATTACAAGAAAAATCAGACATGAAAGAAACAAGTGCACCATATTCTCCAGTCTAAACGGACATCAGGATAGACGACAGGAAGCAAACATGAGCCAAAAACAATTGGACATAAGTGCATTTGATGGTTGCTAAATGTCGAATGGTCCTCATCAATAACATAAAAATTTGTGATATACAGTAATTGGGATATAACATTGGCCGCGAGAAGAGTAAAATTTTAGTTTTAGGTTGCTCAAAGTCAAATTGCAGAGGAAAAGCACATTTCAGCTAAATAGTACAGCAATCTTGGGTAAATATTATTTTTATCTCTTTGGCCTCTATCACGACATTAAAACATCCCTTGAAAGACTCTTGCGGTGGAGCTTGCTCATCTTAACCGGTTGTTTACCAAGCACAAAGGATAGACCAGGTTCTATTCACTAGATATGCAAACCCAATTTTGTAGACATGATTAATGGTTCTATCTAGTGAGGTTTAGATGTTTTCAGGAGTCAGATAAGTATAAACAGATGAATGCTTCTCATTTTGGTTACAATTATTGTTCATCATATAATCAGATGTGACATAAGCAAACAACCAAGATAAAGGAAAACAATAAGCATAAAACATTAACTGAAATTGCACCTTACAAAAGTTCTCAGACACAGCCCCATCGTTTTCAGACATGGAAAGTTCCTGTACAACTTTCTCAAGTCCTTTACTAATAGCTTGCATTTCCTCCGCCAAGAATTTCAGTTGAATCTGGACAGCAAAAATGAACTCTTAGGCTTTCTGTTCAGTCAGTAGATGGGGACCTCCCCATGCTTACATACTAATAATGAAATACTTACCTTTGCAGCAGGTTCCAAACTAGAAAGCTCTTTTGAAAAATCTAGAAGTTCAGGCAGTTTATCAGCTAGAACCTGGGGATGGTTTCAAGAAAAAGAGTTGTAAACACAAGTAAACAAATACAACTTGAGTGCTGTTTTAATAATAGGACAGCATATACCAGGACCAGTCAGTTAAAGTAAATTATCCTATAACACATAAGTTTTAGATGGAAAAACCACGAATCATATATCTAACAGCAGAATGGCTTGATAAATCAAGACCCATGTTGCAAGAAATGTATAAGATGTATAAGGCTACATCAATGCTTTCTTGGGGTATTGCGGTTCAGTTGTGCAGAGTGATCTTTTTATATAGTAAGTACTAACTGCATATATCCAACTGGTACAATAATGGAGAAAGGGAAACGAGAGATAGCCAGAAATTTAGCTGGGATCTATACATGCATCAGACAGAATAGACTTTCGATTCTCACCAGGAAACAAAAAGAAGATTAAAGCAAAAAAAAAGAAAAAAAAAGAAAAAAGAAAAAGATTTAAGCATATGGATTCATGTCAACAATTTATGGACGGGAAGGTTTCCTTTGAAGATCATCCCCCAACATAGGGCCATTTAAGGGGGGGATCCAATACATTATTCCAACTACAAGTTTCAATAGGACACAGAGCAATGAACTAGCAGTAGCAGTCCACAATAGCCAAGACTAGAAGGCACCAGCTGGTTAACCATGGAGATTGAGAAGCCTTAAAATGAGAAAGAGAAGCTTGCATGAACAAAAATGAAGAACAAGTCTTTAACAAAAAGAAACATAATGTGCGTCAAGAACCAGAAGTTCAGTTTTATGTTCATATAACATGTCTGCAACGAGGCAATAAATATGTACACTGTTAGAGCACCATCACAAACACAAGTATAGGAGTCATCTTAGCTTTGATTGGTACCTTGCAAAGGTAATGCATAAGAGTCATCTTGTTGTTTCTGGCCCGTGTTTCGGTGAGTTTGAGTAGGCTATCCAATCTGAAACCTACTGCAGAGCCTATGAAAAGCATCAAAGTTGTTTCAGTAAAGCAGAATTACAGGAAGGCAGTGAAGAAATAATAAATTTGAAGATGTACAAATAATTTTCATTAGATTGGATCATCTGATGATGCGGAGCTTCTAAAAATGAAGAGAGAACAAATAAATAAGTCATAAAACAGAAAAAGTCAAGCAACGAGAAATAAGACTTAACTACAGTAGATCAACCTAATAAATACAAAATGATGAAATAGTTACTACTCTGGCCAAATATAATAAAATTAAATAAAAAAAAAAAAGACACTACTGAGGCAAAAGCTCTTCCTCAACCTTAGTTATGTGAGATTTCACTGTGCAAAGAGATGCTAAAAAGACTAAGTTTCTCCTCAACGAATGAAGTATTAGAATGGTAAGTTACCCCTTGCAGTTCCCTGGTTCAGGGCGTTTCCCAGTGAAAGGATTGTTTGCATAATTTTCTTCAATTTGGCAGAATTTCTAATCTGAAAAGAGTATTGATGAAGATAAAAGTAAGATGTTGGATCCTAAAGAAGCTTAAATTGCCAGAGAGCAGAAAGAAACATTTGCCTGATCAGCTGCTGAGTTTACAATATTTAGATTCTTCTGCAGCTCCGAGACCTGTAAACGACATTGTAGAAAGAATTTTTTTTTTACAGGATAAAGACAACTTGCAAACAGCTGCAAACTAAAGATAAACTTCCAACCTGGCCACGGAACTGAATTTTAAATGAGAAAACTCTCAACTTCGGTTCTATCCTTGGTACTTGCATCAGCTCCAAGAAGAACTGACAAGAAAATAGAAGTTTACGTTTGGTAAGCTTGGTCCTTCATGAAAGAGAACAGATTTGAAGATGCAAGATGATAGATGAGCAAACCTGTTCACACTTCCCCAACTTATCTCTCTCACCCTTATAACCCTGAAAAACTCATTCAAAAAATTGACTTAGCATGTGACTAAGAAGCAAAGGATACTTTTATCTTTCAGAGGTGATTTGCTCCATAGTTTTAAAATTCCAGTTCCCGAGATAACTTAAAGAGACAAAAGTTTTTATGGGGGATAAAAAATTTCATACCTTCAGCAGCTCCATTTCCTCTTTTGTTGGGCAGAACTTTATTAGGTTCTCAACCTGATCGACATCTAGGGCAGATTCTTCCAAGGCAAGAACTGAACTCTACAGACCAACCAAGTGGTTTGACAGAAATTCGGTCAAAGTTGAACAGTAATTGAAACGGAGAAGCATGATGTAACTAAAAAATAACCAACTCATAAAAAATAGTGTCTCAGTTTTTAGTTTATGCAGGTGCATTCGAGTGAAAGAGAGAAAATATAAGGTGGAAAACGGCAATGGAGAAAAATTATTATGGCTTCAAGCACAGAACAGAAAAACCCAGTGAAGATCTATTAGAAATTACGGGTTCAAACCTAAACCAATGTACTAAATGACCTAACTTCTTCTTATTAACATCATTTTCAATCGTCTAAAAAATTACGATCTAACAATATGATAAACTCCTCTTAACAAAACAAGCCAAAAAATTTACAGTGAATTGTGATATAAAGATATTAGGCAAAGAATTTAAACTGAACAGTTTGGGATATCGTTAAAAATGTGTATAATATAAATTTCCAATGACTTCTTCCATAGAAGGTAAAGAGGCATAGTCAATACTAAGGTCCTTTACAGTGGAAGTTTAAGATGGATGAATGACACTAGAGCCGTAAAACCATAAGCAAAAAAGAAAAAATCAGTCAGCTGCTATCCAATCTTTTACACTGCAAAATTAAAAGCATATAAGTGCATAACTATCACAGAATGATGCTATTAATTTCAATGTGTTGATCAACTACAGATACTTCCACACTTCATGAAATTCGGAAGAGAAGTATGAAGGGAACCTTATTCATTCTAAAACATAGGTTACTTACCAACAAATCAGGTAATGGTATCTTCACCTTTGAGAGCATGATCTCACAATTATACGCCCGGCGATGTTCAATCTGCAAAATTGAAATACGAAGTTCTTTACTACATTGCCAACTACCCAAGCTCTGTGGTTTTACACCACTTTTCGAGTCAAAAAGTACGCATATTCTTTTCCCTTCATGGGCAAGTGAAAGATCCCAAAAAATAGATTTGAGTACAAGATGAGAAGGACTTGCTGCATTATTTTTAAGTTTTATGATAGACAGCATAGACGATACGTTAAATTTACACAGGTTATGCCACAGTCCAATTATTTCATAAATTATGCACGCCATATTGCCCTAAAATAAGAAAGAGACACTATAAGATTTTCAGTCAGCTCTCTAGGAGAAAAATGTATCAAAACAGTCTCTAATTGCTAAACCGATCCATAACCATTTGTTCAGTGCATTAAAATGGTCAACAATTCATACTTTCAGGATTCAAGTCACATCATGGCACACTTAAAAGGTCAAATGTAATTGACAAGCAACAAAAAGTTGATAAAAAGAGAATAAAAATAAAAGTAAAATAACAGGAGTAGCAAAGATACTACTTTCAGATGATCACCGATTCAGTCATGTTGATCAACTCATCACACCCTTAATCTTACAGATTTTCAATAGAATCAAGGAAATTAATGGCTGCAACCAACAACTTTTAGGACCAACCATGACGTCGTCACTCCTGCAGCTTTAGGTGCTATGCCGGGAAGACCAGCAGATTTCACCATGGGAGTTTGGTGTATACACTTAGAGTCGATCACTTTTGAAATATATATATTTAAAAAAAGCCAGTGAGCTACAAGTCTGTCTTGCAAATGATGAAGACAGACTACAAACACCAACTTACGACCTTTTAAAAATTTAAAATTGAAAAGAAGATAGATTGTGGCTTGATCTCTACGAGACATATCAGACAAACATGCCAGTGAGAAACAAGTCTGTTTTGCAATTAATGAAGACAGACTACAAACATCAAATTATGACCTTTTAAATATTTATTAAAATTTGAAAGAAGATAGATCGTAAAAAATCTGAACTTGTTTGAATAACACAAATTACATCCTTACCCAAAAAATTAAAAAAATAAAAATAATAATTTGGTTACCACTTGTACAAACTACCCAGACCTGATCAGACCACAATGAGGAAAAGACTAAGACAGAACCAGGTAACAGACTAATTAAAAACATGCTGACAAGTGAAACATATCAAACGGCAAACATAGTTACCAGTTGAACTTTCTCTGGTTTCTGTCCCAGCGAAGCCCGTGAACTTCCTTTCTTGCCAGAGCCACCTTGGTCTGAGGTAGGAACTGCAGCAGAGAAGAGAGATTCGAGTTCCGTGATATCAATATCAGGGGCCCTAACGAGCACATGGAAAAAATGGTGAAGAAAATCAGGAAAATCAAAAAGAAGAAAATAAAGAATTAAGATTATTCCTAACAAAAATCTTTCAATCAAGAAAATGCTAACTTACTTGGAAGCTTCACCAGATTTCTGTGTCTCTGCCCACAAACTTCCTTGCACAGCTCTTGTCAATTTCAGCCAATGCAAAGGCTTCAATTTCTTTGACTGATTATTTTTTGAAGTTATTGTTCTTGACAACATTGATCTTCCTTTTGCACCAGGCAGAGGAGCAGAAGGCGGGGGCGGTGAAGGGGTTCCTGCCAATTTACCACCCCCGCCAACTGCAACTGGAGACATATTTTCTTTAGAAGAAAGAGGAGGAGGAGGTGCTGAAGGAATACTAGAAGAGCCATGCTTTGCAGAAGCAGATGTCATAGGAGGAGGGGGAGGTGGAGGTGCCAAAGGTGAACTTGACTGTCCAGCTGTAGTTCCAGAATGAAGAGGAGGTGGTGGTGGTGGAGGTGGCCCACCCCTTGCAGTAGAAATCTCCTTCATAGGAGAGATTGGAGGAGGAGGTGGAGGTGGAGGTGCTCCAGCCCCTGGAGTAGAACCTTCCTTCATAGGGGGCATTGGAGGAGGAGGTGGTGGTGGTGGAGATGCCCCACCCCCAGGAGTGGAACCCTCCTTCATAAGGGGCAATGGAGGAGGAGGAGGTGGCGGAGGTAGAGGTGGACCAACCCTAGGAGGTGAATCCTTCATAGAAGATGCCGGAGGAGGAGGAGGAGGAGGAGGTGGCGGAATGCTTCCACCTACAAAGGCTGCATTCTCCTTCAAAGGTGGAGAAGGAGGCGTGGAAGTGTGAAATACTCCAGATGTAGAAGTTGAAGTTTCTTTTAAATTCAGAGCTATAGGTGGTGGTGGTGGTGGCGGCGGCGGCGGGGGTGGCGCCTGTCCGGCTTTTAGAGAGGAGCCCTTAACTAGGGATGACGTCGAAGGAGGCAGACTTGGGGGAGGGGGGCTATACTGCACTGTTGAAGAAGCAATTTCAGGTTGAGAGGGCAGAGGAGGAGGTGGAGGTGTGGGCGCAGCTGATGATCCAGTTCTTTGGGCTTCAATTTCAGGAAGAAAAGCACTTGAAGTTTGAAGAGGTCGCGAATGTTGCTTACCTGATTCACGAAGAGTTGAAGAAGTTGGACGTTGCATACTTCCATCAGGTGCACCGTCTGTTTTAGAAGAAGCAAGGGGAGACAGAGGAGCTGCCACGGTTTTCTGAGATACATTTTCTGCTGAAGAAGAAGCAATGTTAGGCAACTCAGATGGTGGTGACTTGATTCTTTTAGCTTTATCTTCCATCTCAGGAGTAGCTGGAGCAAGCTGCATTTTCAGAGGGGATACATGTAAAGAAGAGGCAGCTGAATCCGACTTAGCATCACTAGACAAATTCTCAGCTCTTGGTACATTAGGAGGAGGTGGTGGAGTTGGTGGAGTAGGTACTCTACTGCTACTGGATAATTTCTCTATCAGAGGGGTGATAGGAGGTGGTGGTGCTGGAGCAAGGGATGAAGGCTTATTTGAACAAGTAAGAAACTCAGTGGAGGCTGTCTCAGCACCAGAGGCAGTGGGGATGGTCATCTTATCACTTTCTGGCAACTTCATTATGGACTCCTTGGGTGATGAGAGACGTGTGTGATAAGATTTTGAAAGATAATCAGGTGATAAGAGAGATGAAGATAGAGCTGGATTTGTAACATTATGTTTGTCAGTACTGATACTAACTTCCTGCGGTAGCTCTAGTTTTCCAGTCTCTGAACTAGTCTCCGAAAATTGAAATTTTGTTGTCAGCTTATTCACATTTTCATCCGAGAATGAACTAGTAGCAGAGCTAGACAGGTCATTTGATTCCATTATTGAGGAGCTCTTTCCACTTTCTTCAAGTGCCAGTGACATTATTTTCTCCTGAAGTTTCTCAATTGGTCCATCTTGTGCCAGTGCGCTGATTTCTGTAACATGAGGGGAGAGCATCTCTCGGGCAACATTTGACGCAGCCACCTGTTGGATCACACTGAGAGCAGCCTCTGCTTTGGGAGTCAGCCAGTCCACACTGTTAAATATTTCATTAACTTTAGCGAAAGCCTCCACTGGAAGGCCCTCCTTCTCTTCAAAACAGGACATGTCTGTAGCGATTACAGAAGCAGCTGCATCCATCTCAGAGAAAAGCACCTTGATCAAATGGTAATTTACAGATTAGAGGTTAAAATACTTAAATCATACAAAATAAGATCTTATCGGAGGTAAGAAAGCATACTTCTGCCCTAAAATCTTTTGGAAACAGATCCTTGGCATCCCACAATATGTCGATTTCATCGCGGTTGAGCATTAAAATATTGGATCTAATAAAAGCAGTGTTAAACATGGCCCGGAAAATCATCCTCTCGCGCTCCATGTCATCATGTAAGTTTGTACACTCCAAAACCACATCACCTTGAACGTTGCAGTTAATGTCAATCTTCACTAACTCACACTCTGCCTGTGGCAAAAATCATATATTAAACTAATTTTTGTTTGGATAGGGAAAAGACACATGAAACAAGAGATGTTACCTGCTTGTAATGTCGAATAGCTTTACTTCTCTTTGGAGTAGAGAAAAGAACCTTTGGACTACGATCACCAACAAGAGAGGGGTCTTGACCATAAATACGAAATGTGGGTCGGAAACCACCTTCTCCGTCAATATTGGGTATCATTCTGATTATTATACAGTCCAAGGAAAGAGCCCTATCCAATGGAGGCCACTGTGACACTAGATTTCTCCGTGATATATACTGCAAGTACCGCAACTGAGAAGGAATTGGATTCAACGGTGCTAGCAAATGTAACAATTCCCTTGGAGCCTGTTTATAAACCATATCCAAAGTCTTTTGCTCCCCACTGTATTGTTTCCTATATATTAACAATGCAGCTAACATGAAAGCTAAAACTGGCCAACCACCACGCTCACAGTGCATCACAAGCAAATTCTGTAGTCCAAGTGACAGCCAGCTTTCACTAGACCTCAGAAAATGATGGATAACCTCCATAGGGAGTAATGGGCAACCCTCATAGTGCCGAGGGTAATCCATTATGGTCATATCATATTCAGACAAAGCATTTGCAATCCGGCTTTGCCACTCTGCGTCGCGGAAATTAAAGACCAGAATTGAAGCATCTGGATAGTTCTCCCGGAGTTCACTAATTACACCTCCGACATACTTCTTGTAGTTTTTTTCATCCCAAACTTCAGTAGTAAAGCAGCAATCGAATACTACAAAAACATAGAAAGGAACAGTTAGTCCAAAATCAAAATCAAGCTACTCTATTTCTTTTAAAGAGAAGCAAAGTCAGAGAAGAAATGTTGGTGAATCTATCAAATTGGGAAAATAAGTTAATATTGGAAATAAAGATATGCATCCATGTTTCCCTTTCTCTAGATTTTTCATCAAAGTCCCTAATCCGAAAAGTCTTTGAAACAAAATGGTATCGATGACGTTTTCCTCTGGAAGACCTATTCCTAATACTCCATCCATCCCGAAATGATTGTCCAATTAGGATTTTCATTTTTAGTTCAAATTGTACTTAAAAGTAAGAATCCAAACTGGACAATGATTTGGGACAGAGGGAGTAGTACTGAATAATTTCAGGTTCCATTCTTCATCTAATAATAGAGAACAGAACAGACTATTGATTCCAGTATAGCACGTTAATGCAGCCAACAGACCTCGAAAGTAAAACATCAGGAACATCACTGTGTTTGATTTATACTTGCCCCAATCTAAAACTATTCTTCCATTGACCTTTACAGCTTAAGGTAATGCCTGAATTTTTTGTTAATTTATTTATTTTTTGGTTAACAGCCTGAATGTTTTAAATCCTTTGTGTATTACGCTGAAGTAAATGCGCACTAGTACACCGCCCACAAACTAAACCTGGAGTTCATTGTCTTCTAATATGCTGCTATCATGCCTATTTAAACCTAACAAGAGATTGCAGTTATGGATAATTTATCACTCCGTAATCCATAAAACAATGAATCAGATAAAAAGGAGGAGACAATAATCCAAATGGAGGAATTCAATTCTTAATCTCATTAGTGCTGTAGTAAACAACCTGAGCAGTATCCCGCACCTGCTACAGGGAAACCAGTTTTAAGCATTGCTCAACTTTCAGCTGTTTATTCACATATGATGGCAGATCCCCAGAAATGAAGATAATAATAACAACACCACCACCAACAACAACAGTAATAGTAGTTGATTCTGAAGAAAATACCGAAACCAATGGAAACAAATAGACCAATTGCTTTTAGTAATTTTCAAATTCATACTTTCTCTACTGGAATTAGCCAAAAAAAGATTCCAAAGCCCAATAAGGCTGTTTCTAAAATTGTCAGGTGTGATTGATTCCTTACAGATATAATGCTGCTACTATGCCTTGATGTTCTGCCAAAAAACAAACTTGTCTAAGGGACTAACTGCGTAAAGTTTTTTCCCACTACCAAAATATTAAAAAACACACATATTCATAATCTGTTTTCAAACCCTTTAGCTAAGTCCATTTGTTTACAAGCTTCAACCACATAGGAGAAATGAAATTATCATATCAGTGATCCATGCTTCCACTTCTGTCTAATTCGGATTTGTCAAGATTTTTGGCTTTAAAAATTTCAAATTCATAAAGAACACATAGGGTAAGGTAAAATTAGTTTTCACTTTCCAGTGAACCTATTCTCGCTTGATATTTCAACTACGTCCCCCTACAAAAATCAAGGTGCTCATGGGCTGTGGAGCATTTTAATGAACACTTTAGCAACTATTTCCAGACATGTCAAAAACACATGATTTTAACACAACTGTAACAAGAAAATGCACTTACTTTCCACAAAATCATCGAAAACACTCATTAGTCGCATGTTTATGTCTATATTATATAATCCTCAAAATTGTGCAATCTTTTTAGCAATTCTCAAACAAAAAGGCAATAGACTTCGATGTAACAGTCACACAATCAGATCACCATAACATCGCCAAAACATCACACGGAAAGAATTACAAACGCAAAACAACTCCAAGCTGTAATCAAACACATTCCGAACATTAAACAACAAATTCAGCTCAAAATGAAGAGAATTGTAAAATAACAGTAAATGAGAGCACAGAGCATACCGTAAACACGCTCGGAGATTTCCAGAAGCCCGTCCGGTGGCTTCCGATAGAACAATTTCCGGAAGAGAGCCATTCACTCGTTAAAATTCAAATTAACAGTGACAGATTATTCGAAACTTTTTTTACAAAAAATCGTCTGTTCACGTACGAGTTTACGCGCGCACATAAAAAAATAAGATTAAAGATTTAAATTCCTTTTCTGAAAAAACCAGAAAAATGACGATTTATTTTATTTCTGTTTGGATTTGATTTTGAGATTTTCTGCGATGATTTTGGGAATGAGAACTGAGGTAGAAGAAGAAGAAGAAGAACAGGCGTTTGGGAGATCACAACGGAACAAACCGACTCAACGGAGTAGTTTAGCACGTCAGCCCTGAAACGACGACGTGTAAACCATTTTCTCGCGCCAGCTGTGCAAAGAAAGGGAAATACAAGTGAGCTGGGTCTTTTTTTTTTTATAAAAAAAAATTAATTTAATTTAATTCCGCAGTTCAGCTTAAAAGTTTGAAAATACAATGCCCCGACATTTTTTATTCATTAACCTTTAAAAAAAGAAAGGCATTTTCTTTCCAATAAAGATGGATTTTTGACAGTTAATACAGCAATACAAAAAAAATGGTGATATTTTAATTTGACCAATATCACGTCACCTGAATGTTTTATTCCGTTTCACAATCCACCACACAAATAAGTCAAGACTCCATTCCAAAAATAAATTATTATACGGGTCAAATAATTTGATACAACATTTATTAGTCAAACTTGCTTTAGTGATTAAGTTTCTATTTATTTACGTAAATTACTATATTATTATAGTTTCTTTATTATTCTTGCATCATCATCAATATATAATGGTCTTGTTAATGACAATAACATGCAAATTACTTTGACATATATTTTTTTCTAAAATTTAATAATATTATTATTTTGTAGACTGATGAAGCATATAATTTACCACCGAATGGTGATAAAGTGAGGTTATAGACAGGTGGCGATTTTTCGCAACTATAAAGTGATGAAATGTGCAAGTGAAACATATATAGACCCGAACTAATAAAAACATTTATACTCTTTTTTATACCATGTATGTTTATTTTTTTAATTTTTTTTCAAATTGGTCTTTTCTACTCTTTTTTTCTGTTTGGTGGTAAAAAAAAAAAAAAACATATACTCCGACCATATATGTTTAGATTCTCTAATTAAAATGCTGATGATGATCACTCCTTCACTTGACCGAATTTCCGACCATGATTTCCCCTTAAAATAAAGAAAGAAAGAAAACCGTCCATGATGGAGTAGTCCTGGAAACAGTTTTCATAACAAAAGGTCAAAAACGAAATCCACATGCTAACGTTAACCACACGAACTCTGTTTGTGCTTCATACTGTGTTTGTGGTTGGCGGGTTTGGTCCAAATCCCCACTTGACTCGATTTCTGTCCACACCAAAACTACAAACCCAAAACCTCATCCAATTTTCCCCCGCTAATATAAGTAAACCCAATAAATTAATATTGCCGCTCCCATATTCTTTCAGACAACTCCCCTCTTTGTCTGTCTGCTTCCGGCAAAGCTCCGGTTGCAGTCCTCCCGTCGATCAGAGGGGTCCGGGTTGGCGATTGGATTGCAAAAGGGGATTTGGGTTTGTTCTGCATTTGTTAGTCATGGCGGCTTGCAGACTTGCAGACTCTAGTTTTCTTTTCTTGGTGAAAATTTCCTCTGCCTTTCTTGGTTTTCTATACTCCCTGCTTGTTTGTTTTCATAGTTCTAAACTGTTTTTCTGTAGTTGGTGTTTTAATTGATGAATGCAATTTAATTGTCAGGGAGGCCAACAGGGGAGGCAAGTTCAGAGGCATAGGCTTTCCTCGCTTAGTTTCTCTTCTGGTAAATCCTGCTGTGAACTACTATTAGTTTCTTTTATTTGATATGAAGACTAAGACCAAAAAAAAAAAGTGTATTCTGACAGATGGGTGTTTGAAACATTATCATTGAATAAGGTTTTGAAAGTTCTTGCATTGGAGACATACGTGTCTTCATTCATTTACTTTGTTCAAGTCATCAATTTTGTTTACTTTATATTTTTTTTTTAATGAATTGCTCAATATTACAATGTCTACGACTGGACGAGGGAGATGTCGTCGTAGTATAAGAAATATAAAGAGTTTGAATTGGCATTCTGTTTCGCGGAGATGGTTGAGCTAAGGAGTTATGGTTCCTATGCTACTGATTAGTATTAGTCCTTCTCTTTGGATTTGCTTGTAAGAAAATATGTACACAAAATTCCCCTCAGAATGCAGCGCATGTGAGGGTTTCTTACCAAGAACAAGTTGCTTTGTAATTATGCAGTGTGGAGTGAAAATTAAGGGGGAGGTCTTGAGTACCTGTTTAAAATATCTCAGTTTGTTAGAGCATCCGTTTAGCAAATGGCAGCTTGTGATGTACCTTGTTTGTGTGAATTGGCATACATTTCACTCATTAAATGAAAATGAGTAGGTGAAGAATAGAAGTTGATTTGCTTACTAGATAGTAACTCCTTACTGACAGCAGATGACTTGGTAGGCATCAAATGTTCAATCGTTGAAATTTGTTATAGCTGCTGTATTTTTGTGTATCTGTTTCCTTAACGTGGTGTTTTATCCACTTTCTTATGCAAAATTGCAGTTCTCACGTAATGTTCCACAGGAAAATTTACTCTGAACTTTGAAGATCTATTAAATGGACGAAGCCAGTGTAAAAGAAGCCTAATTTCTTTGAGAAAGGCTAAAGTAGTACGAGCTGTGGCAGTTCCAGTTGCACCATCTCCAGCAGACAGTGTAGAATATCGGGAACAGTTACGTGAAAGCTACGGTTTTAGACAAATTGGAGAACCACTTCCAGACAATATCACATTGAAAGATATCATTGAAACCCTTCCTAAAAAGGTATTGTTTCCTGATTTGTAGCAATTAACCCTTCCTATGGTTAAGTTTTGTGCTACCTGAGTGTGGTTGCTGTCACATCCGTAAATAATGGCAACAAGACATTTGATTGAAATGGCTTTTGGAATTTTTTTCCTTCAAATTTTTTATGAGTTTTATTTTATTTGAGATTTTGGAGCCATGACCCAATTTGACGCTGTCCCAACTCAAATTTGATTCACAGGTATTTGAGATAGATGATGTGAAAGCATGGAAGTCAGTTTTGATATCTGTGACATCTTACACACTTGGGCTCCTCATGATTGCGAAAGCACCATGGTATCTACTTCCTCTTGCTTGGGCTTGGACAGGAACTGCTGTCACTGGGGTTAGTTCTGCACTCATCACTATGTGTTAGCTTTCATATTGTATTGATACGTTTTACTTCAGAATCTCTCTTTGATTTTTCAAGACAATCAAAGGACTGGAAATGACTAAACTTCTTCTCGAGAACTTCTTTCCACTTCAGAACATGATTACAAAAGATTGTATTTTGTCTTTCTTTTCTGTTCCTGTTGGTCTCGTAGCATTCTTTACTGATCATGTTTCTTAGTATATATTATGTTCATAATCCTTATTTAACAGCTTCTATTGAATTGAGGAACCACTTGCATATTTTTTTTTCTTTAGTTTGTTAATGTTAGCTGTAGTTTGTTATTTATCTTCTTTTGTGAAGTTCTTTGTTATAGGACATGATTGTGCGCACAAGTCATTCTCAAGGAACAAATTAGTGGAAGACATCGTCGGAACTCTAGCCTTCCTGCCACTAATATACCCTTATGAGCCATGGCGTTTTAAGCACGATCGACATCATGCAAAGACCAACATGTTTGTTCTAGTTCCCTATGAACTCTTTCTTTGTCTTGGGTTCATTCTGTTTCATTCATCTATGTGTCAAATAACTCCTTGTCTGCTTTCCCTATCTATTTCGAGCTACCTATTGTATCATGAACATGGTTTCATTACTTGTAAGGTGCTCTGTGAGAAAATCCCAAAGTTAGACCTGGTGGTTTATTGTTTGCTTTTGTTGCCTGAGATAAAGCAATTTAAGACGCGTGAGTGTTAGTCATGCATGGTTAATTTGTTTGAGATCATTCCAGAAGTTAGATCCATTGTGAGGATTGTTAGGATGAGTATTGGACGTATCCGTAAGATATGAGAAAACTAGATTGCTCTTTTCTATGCTTTTGAAGAAACATAATTGAAGCTTGACATCCTACTAACCAACTTACTGGGAGAGAAGAAGATATTGAAACTCTGGTAATAGATTATATCTTAGTCCTTCAAGGGTTTAGATCTGTAAATATTCTTGATCTAGTGGGTGTTATAGCACAACTATGTCTTCACTTTACACATTTAATACATATATCATATTGCTTCTTGTACTCAATTGTATTCGCTGTTTCTTGTCATTACTGATATGCTGTCCTCTGGTTTCAAGTAAAAAAACCTAATAGAAGCCTTTGCACAGCAGTAAGAACTTTCGCCATGTAATTTGAGGCCGCAGGTTTGAGTCATGGAAAGTGTGTATTGTAGAAATGCATAGAAAGACTGTACTTTATGCCTCAACCTTTTTGAAATGTTTTATGTCTGATTATTTCAACGGACGCTGAAAAACTTAATGAAAAATGTTGGTTTGTCCACATATATTAAACTGAACATTTAAAAATGTCTCTTGATGCATAGATATTTCTCTAAGTACATATTGATTTACTTGCTGATAATGTCAATATGTAGAATTAGCCCATCTCATTCTCCTGGTTTTGGTTTTCTTTGGTCCTTTTTCTTTTTATTTTTCTTTGCTTGGACACTAATCAGGCATCAGACGTATTAGCTCTGTGTGTATACTGTCCAGCTTACCATTTTGAATTGCATCCCAGGTTGAAGGAAGATACAGCTTGGCACCCCGTCTGGAAAGAAGAATTTGACTCATCCCCAAATTTCAGAAAGGCCATCATTTTTGGTTATGGACCATTTAGACCATGGATGTCTATAGCTCACTGGTAAGATTATGTGAATCTCATATGTATGATAAAACTCGAGCTTTTATTTCTATTTGGTATTCTATCAAATTTTGATTTCCTTTCGTTTATTTTGTCATCTCGTGTTTAGGGTAAACTGGCACTTTGATTTGAAGAAATTCAGACCCAATGAAATAAACAGGGTGAAGATAAGCTTGGCTTGTGTATTTGCATTTATGGCAATTGGATGGCCACTTATTATATACAAGACAGGAATTATGGGATGGATTAAATTTTGGTTGATGCCATGGTTGGGTTATCACTTCTGGGTAATCTTCTTTCACCACACTTCTTGGTTTTTTTTAGTATTCTAGCCATATTTTCTCAAACTAGCAATTCTTTACAGCCGCATTATTTGAGGACTGTAATCAAATCCTGCTTTTATGGTCAGGTTCTATACTGAACTATTCACAAATGAAAATCTATACTTTCTGAAATGGTAGACGTGGCTTGCTGTTGCCATATTTGGTTGAGTTGTATTTAAGTTGGACATCATTTTGTCGCAACCTTCCAACTTAATGTCACTAAGTCTTAAGTGTACCAGGATTGCTTTGCGTATGCTGAACATGTCCCTTTCACATACCAATATGAGATGTCTTTTTTCCTTGAATTCAACATAGATCTAATGAGAATCAAATCGAATAGAAAGTGAGGAAACTTACGGCTCAACTGTAACATATTTTCCTCCTATGACCCTGACCCACATCTTTAAATTCTAGGTTGTTGTGGAATGCAAGAGTGGGTACTGATGACGGTTTATACCTAGTACTTTGCCCTTGGATAAGAGTGGTTTTATATGCCTTTACAACAGCAATAGTATTATTTTTATGCTTTACCATTTTGATTCCATCAATATATTGTGAATTATAGAGTTCTCTTGTACCTTCTGGCGATCTCATGAAATGCTAACATCTGGGATCCCCTCCCTGAAATTTGCAGATGAGCACTTTCACCATGGTGCATCACACAGCTCCCCATATACCTTTCAAATACTCAGACAGCTGGAATGCAGCTCAGGCCCAGCTTAATGGCACTGTCCATTGTGATTACCCTCGCTGGTATAGATAAATCTTTTTAAATTGATAACATATTCATGCCATCGTATAGGCCAAAGAACTGTAAATGCATTCAAGTGTTTTTTTAAAAAAAAAAAAAATTCTGCACGAAGTCTGGGAGATGCTTCGTTTTCGAATAATGACAAAATGGATATTTAGTTGGTGGAATTTGGTGACTGATACTATTTGAACTTATTTACTGCACCAGCTATGTCCTTTTGATGATTGTAGTTCCGAACTAATTTCTTGGCATCACCGATGAGTTTGCTAACTGCCCTTTTCTCCCCTTTAACAGGATAGAGATCCTTTGTCACCATATCAATGTTCACATACCTCACCACATTTCTCCAAGGATCCCGAGCTACAACTTGCAGGAGGCACATCAGTCTCTCCAGCAGAACTGGGGCAAGGTATGAAATAATGCAAAATACCTTTTGAATCTCCAAACCTCTGGAAAAAGAATTGTGTACTTCCAGTGTATCTGCGTTATTATGTGCATTGTGTCAATCAAATTAAGTTCATCTTTGCCCAATCAATGTCAATGAACTTAAGTTTGACCCCTAAACTGCATCATATCATTCTTCTATGTTTTCCTTCAGCAGTCGAACCTTTCTCATGTCGTTACTGTATCTCATGTGAGTTTGTTATGGTCTTCGTGAAACAGTATCTGAATGAGGCTACGTGGAACTGGCGGTTAATGAAAACAATATTGACAATGTGCCATGTCTACAGTGAGGAGCGAAACTATGTAGCATTTGATGAAATTGCACCGGAAGACGCCCAGCCAATCACATTCCTTAAGAGAGTAATGCCAGATTATGCTTGAATCATCTGACGTTCCTCTAGGGTTGTACTTCTTTTAAGAATTAATACCATTTTTGTCCGTAGTAGGTTAGATTATAGTATTTGATCTCAGTATTCTAAATGTACTTGGATATCGTCAACTCTTGTTGTCCTGTCCTTCATTTTAGTATTGAAGGAAGCTTCCTATATGATTCACACCTTGGTGTCAGAGGCTTTAATTTCTCGACGAAAACTCACTTGCATCTTATATTGACAAATCACAGTGATGTGTGCACCCTTAAAAATCAGGCTGTAGTAAGCCTGAATGGACTGATTTTTGAAGTATCTAGTTACAATACAAAGTGACGTTTAAATTATTATACGAGTAGAGTCGTAACGGGTGATTTGGCTATATAATATTCTCTCTGGTACTTAATATAAAGCATTTTAATTTATTCTAAATTTATTCTAGGACGTATTTTTAATTGACGATAAGACCTTAAAAATATATTTTTATATTCGTTGTATACCCTTAATATAAAATATTTTTAAGATTTTTTCGTCAATTAAAAATACGTATTAGATGAAATTTAGGATGAAATCAAAATAACTTATATTAAGGATCGGAAAGAGTACACGTTTTGCCGCACGAAAGCGCGGGTTTATCCAACTGGGATTATCTAAAAGAGCAAGTTTCTAAATACATGCACACTTTAAGTTAGCATAAAATTCTAATCTTTTTAGCTGTTCGTTCCTAAATTGACTGATTCCAACGTTTTCTGTCCAGTGTTGAATTGTAATCGCTGGCTGGCAGGCGTCAACGCGGAGTGTTGTGTATAAAATAAAACTTTTTTCTGGGTCCTTTCTCCACTCGGACGGTCGGACCACTCCATCATATCGATAGCAGTTCTCCTATTGTAATTTGAACTAAAATTAATGATGTAATTGCATCAAATTATATTCAATACTACAAACAAAGTGTCATCACTATATGCAATATTAAATTACCAAGAGTCGGTAAACGGCAGCTTAAAGGAAGGACATGGCTCCACATTTTTGCGAATTTAGAGAAGACTAGAAGGTGCATTAGTCAGCTTTCCCTTGGTGCGAGTTTTCACAAGAAATCATTTGCATTTAATCTCTCAGATGAGTACTACATGACTGAAATAAACAAAGTACTACCAGCTGACCTAGGAATTTGATGATAATGTTCATGGTTCTTTCAACCATTAGTCTTCCAGTTACAGTTCCAAGTTTGAACTTTTATCAGTAGTAGTACAAAAACTTCACCAAAGGCTCTTAAAACGATGAATCCAAGATGAACACAGAGTTTGGTCATTAAATTCTGTTATAATTTCTCGTACAAGTACACTTTTCGGCGTCTTTATTTCTTTTTCCCCTTTTTATCTAGTTGTACAGTTGTACTATATCTTACATGACAAGATCTTCAAGTCTTCAACTTTATTAGACGGCATATGCCCCCAATATTTTCTTCTCAGATAGAGAGAATTTGGAATCCTACTAACGTGAGCAAAGTGCTAAAGTCAGTCTGCTTAAAACTATAGAATCAGTAAAAGGGGGCAAAAGAAGACTTGTTGATAAGGGTCTTTGGGATAAAGATAGAGACTTTAGAGGTCCCATATCCCCACTAAAACTAAACGTCCTGAAGTCAATGAAATTTTGTATACAAAATGCCATATTGTTTAATCATCATATTAGATAAGTAATCTATTCAGAAGCAGCCATCCTTGAAGACTGTTTGCTCATCTAATTATGGAAAAAAACAGACATCAATGTGAAGAAAGCAGCCAAGAATGAAAGATATGGTTGTTAAGCAATCATTCTCATTTCAATTTCTATCAAATTATGAGATAATTCTGTACAGTCTCACAGTTTCAATAACACTATGTATTGCTAACTCTCTAGCATCCAAAAAAAGAAAGGGAAATCTATAGGACTCTCATGTATCGAAAACTTTAGCTCTATAACCTATATCAGCTAGATAGATGGTAAAAAATAACTCAAACCAAACATGGATGAAGACTATTTGGGACAAACCTAATGCAGAATTATATGATAGGAGGGGTTGGAGTCTCCCATATATCAAAGACATTTTCCTCACTATGCAGAGCAAATAGCCGATCTCCACCTATTGAAAAATCGCAGATTGAACCACCATAACTCCGGCGAAGCCTTGAAGTTAACACCCAATCCGGACCACAAAACACCGATATTGTATCATTCATGGATGAAAACAGCTGCCCCTCATGTACTGCCAGTTTCGGGTAGCAAGGCTCATCAGGCATTTTACTCTTCATCAAACGACTCCTTGAACTCCATCTCACACTTCCAGCAGCCCTCCTTAAATCCATGAATCCTAAGTCCTCGTACTCATTCACTACACATATAGAGCTAGTCTCGTCCATAGCAATCGCATCCCTAACTCGCCTTTCATCCATTATGGAAGCACCAATATCAGACCATGACCAAACCATATTGTCTTTGTCCCTAAAATCAAGCAAACTAATATAACAATTATCCTTCCTAGGAAACAAAGTTGCAACCATCAAACAGTTGGAACCATTAAGCCATTGCAACTTATCTGCATCACCAAGTGACCATCCAGGGGGCTCATAGAAAAAATCTGTTTGCTTTCCTGTCACTTGGTCCCAAACACCAATACCATACTCATTGCTCCTACCTTTACAACTAGAAAACAACTTATAATCCGGACTAAAACACAATGCACCAGCGGTAAAAGTCTTAACCTGATTTTCATGTTTGACATCAAATTTATACCTTAATTCGCCTGTAGATGCATTGAACAATCCCATACCTCCATCTCCGCGGCCAAGCCTTTCGCAAGCACTAATGACAATACTCTCAGGGTCAATCCAACAAGCATCATTAACTCTCTGATAATCAAGATTAATAGTAGGATGCTCTTCAAGCATCCAATCATAAACATGAACCATACTACCATGGGCCACACAGCAGCCACCGTCTGGACCGGCCCTGATGGCCGTCCCATCTCCCGGAGCTCGGCCGGTAACAGAACCCGACAATTTGAGCCGGTTTCCATCAAATTGACCCCACTTAGCTGACCTGACATGATCCAATAGGCCATAAAACAGGGCTTCTCTGTACAAGAGTTTTTCAGGCATATTTGATGGAAGATACAGCTCTCCTGTCCTGAGAAGGTCGAGAAGAACAGCAAAGCAATCGGGGTTTCGGTCAATGAAATGCTCTGTGATGGTATGACCCGGATGGAAGTTCCAGTTGTCATCAAACATTGCTCCGAACAATGAGTTCCGGCCAGCATTTGCAAGGGTTGTGGCCGAAGTTTCAAAGATTCTCCCACCAACGTTGAATCTCACCCTGTCTTTCTGGACACCCATAGCTCGGATTGTTCGAAAACCTCCACCAAGAAATGACGAAGACCCGGTTGAAACCTTAAAGGGAACAAGCCAACAAATACAGAGGTTTTGGAAGCAAGATTGAATCTTTGAATCAGAATCGCCAAATGTTCAAAAGGAAACAATAACAGAAGGATTTGAAAATTGAAAAATAGAGAAATATCACAAACCCCTAAAACCAGAACAACTGGGAAAGAAATTCAAATGACTTTCATGAATTGAATAAGAAAAAGAAACACATATAAAGAATCGGGCAACTATTTAATAAGGAATGACAAAAGCTTTAATGGCACATGGGATCAGATTTTTAGGAGAGAAAAAGGCAGAGTCTTTGAACTGATGGATTCTGGGTTCAAATTCAAAGCCGTCATCCCACCAGAGACATGAGTAAAAACAAAGGGTTTACATCCGATTATATACAACTACAAAATTGGTGGTGAAGTAATAATCTATGATCACAAAACTTAGAAAACAAAAAATTATGATGTGGGTTTTGAATTAAGGAAGGTAATTTATAAAGGTGGGATTTCTGGATGGAGTGGGTTTTTGGTGAAGTGGAAAGGAATTTGGATTTGGGAAGATTAGGAGCGGTTGGTCATTCAAAATATTGACTCCATTTTTAATCATCCTTTCTCAGTTTTTCTCTTTCTCTATCTTGCTTTACTCTTTTTTTTTTTTTTTTTTCATGTTTTGATATTGAAGATTTCTTTATTTGGGTTTTCCTGTCTTCTGGTTCTTTTTACTCTTTTACACGTTCCGGCTGTCTGAAGACTTCTGAAGTCTGAGACTTTCCTTAATAAGTTTGCAAAATCCAATGATCTGTTTTGGTATTGGGTCGTCAGACATCATTTCTCTTTATTGTCAGCCGTCGATTCTTCAATAAAGATTCATCAGATGGTCCTCCTTTGATGTCATTCTGTTTCATGTATGTAACCATTTTTTTTTTTTTATACTCATCTATGCTCGGCAACAGTAACTATTTACGCTTTTCCTCGTCTTAATAGTTAACTAGACAACTGTTAAAAAGATTTATTAAGGATTTTTAGGTTGATCTGATGACTTAATTAAAAATTTAATTGAAGTTATTGTACTCAATAATGGTTTTCTTTTTTTTTTTCTTTTTTTTTGTAAGTGGGAAAAATAAAAAGATATCGGAATGGTCGGGCAGTTAAGACTTTATGTTAGCTTCTGTGATTTGGTCAGTTACCTGCAGCGAGAGGAAGTATCTCTGTTTTTTTTTGTACGCAGACAAATCACAACTTGGCATTCGGTTCATCATTCCGGGGGGGTTCAGTTTGGACTTTGGAATGGGTTTTTCTTTATGAATATGCTTTTCTTCTTTTTCTTTTTTCTTTTTTTTTCTTAATGAGCTATTTGAGGTAGTATCAGGTGGAGGGAATAATTAGATGACCAAATCAAAATAATGATACGATATATAGTGAAAATCTAGCAAATTTGTGTGGAAGCCAAAACTACCATTAGTATTTTTGGTTGTAAGATTCATACCTGAAAGTCAACGTTGTCACTATTTTGGTGCAATATTTTTGGGCCGTTGAGCTTTCATTTTGACAAATAAATCACTTAACCAGTAGTATCAAATTAATATGCTACTCCTATTCTGTTGATGAGATGTTAGGAATCAAGTGTGTATCGCTTAACATAATGTTTTAAAATAACTTTTGATATTGAGTTGAAGAGAAACGGGTTTGAACCAAAAAAATCAAAATGCTTTATAATAAGGATCGGAGGGAGTATTTATTTAAGATGTGTTTTTCACATTTCTCGTGTTCTCCTAATTATTAAGAAATATTTTTAAGTTTTTTATTCTAATTAAAAATATATTCTAGATAAAATTTAGGACAAACTTAAGATAAATCAAAATGACTTATAATAAGGATCGGAGCCTAATTATTAAGAAATATTTTTAAGGTTTTTATTCTAATTAAAAAAATATTCTAGATAAAATTTAGGACAAACCTAAGATAAATTAAAATGCCTTATAATAAGGACCGGAGAGAGTATTTATCAGGATAAACTTTGGATTCTCTAGTTTGTCCGCACAATGAATTCTAACTCTAAGGTATTTAGCCGAATTAGGAACCAAGATGGTGAACCATTCACTACTTATTAAGTTCACCCAAGTGAAAAGGCCAAAATGCTAAAAACAAGTAGCGTGATGGATTCATTAAAACTGAAAGATTTTTTGGTTTTGATCATGAATGAATATTTTACTTCATTTGTATTATGATTCGATTGAAGAATGCCAAATGGCAACTTAGCCCCAACATTGTGAGGGGGGAAAAATCAAATTGTGCTGGCGAGCATCATGATTCATGACTCATCAAGGGGGAGATAAGGAAATTTGGATAGGGAAAGTAACTAGTCAGATATGATAAGAATGAAAGCAAGGAGTTTCTTAGATGTTGGGAAAGAAGAATTGAAAATGACAATGACAAACTATCTAGCAAGCCACTAGAGGTCGATTCACTGTATATTGTTTTATCCATTTCTACGTTTTTCTTTTTTCTTTTTTTTAGTATAATTTATAGGAAGAAAATCGTTATGCTAACTAATTAGCACCAAACTGAATTGTTCATCCTAGCTAGGTTCACAGTGTTGTAGTTGATTAGCTTATTAAATTAATTACTAGTGACGGTCGAATTTAAACATGCAACTTACGTTATTGTCGAATCATCATGTAAATAATAATTGTAAGAATAATATAAGACCCCCTCCGGTCCTTATTATAAGACATTTTGATTTCGTCCTAGGTTTAACCTAGGATGTCTTTTTAATTGGAAAAAAAATATTAGAAATATATTTTTACATTTGTTGTATTCTCCTAAATATTATGAAATGTTTTTAAGGTTTTTATTCCAATTAAAAAGACATCTTATGTGAAATTAAAGACGAAATCAAAATGCGTTATAATAAGGACGGGAGGGAATAAATCACATTAAGAAGATGTCGACTTGTCTTCTTTTTTCTTTATTTCTTTTTCATTCAATTCCCAATTGCTAGTTTTTATATTGTTATTAAAACTATTTCGCCTCTCTTGTCAACGATGTCTAAGTATGTAGAAATTGAAGTGAATAAAAAAAAAACCACGGAAACAAGATCGTGCAATATCGCAAAGAAAACACGTATGTCTAAATTCACTAATCCGTAGGTTGTCCAATGCATGCAATCGTTCTTGGATGACTAGTCCTGTAAAATATTTTTTCCCTCTGTTAAAAATGTGTTATCCAGGCACCCTTTCATTTTTAAATTTTTAATTAGGTTCCAAATAGTTTTAGCGGTGTAGATTTCTTTGTTTTTTTGTCAAAAAAAAAAAAGAAAGAAAAGAAAAGAAAAAGAGAGAGAGGGTATAAAGTAAAAACATCAATGCAATAATTAAGCATATTCTATCGATCACTTTATTTATTTTTCTAATGAATTTCAACGGGAAACAAGCAATATTCAGAATAATGATGTCCAACTTTTGATAAGGGGCAGAAATGATGATCGATAATTATCAAAATCATTATGATACAAACACACTCATTAAAATATATAAGGCGTAGTTCACATATTTGCCATGAATTTGATTGCACACAACTCACAAGAGTTGTTAAAGAATTATGATTGGAGATTAAATTAACTATACGAATTAGGAAAACAACTCTACCTAACTCATTTGCTTCGATGGAATTTGTGGCCGACCACATACCTAGTCCAAACTCCAAACTCCAAAACTCGTACAGTAGGCTTAGTAGTAGTCATGCATGCTTTATTTAACTCATCAATTACCACTTTTCTGTTGATTAATCGATCAAACTTAGTTTGATTTTAGTACTGAATTGTATTTAATCATAACTAAGAATATAATACTCATCGTGGGGGATGACAAAGGTGATGAATAGTCGTTACTAGGAGGGCAAGACCTCAATCTTGTTAAAACATTGTATATGACTGGTTAATTATATTAACTGTGCAATTCGATCCATAAATTTCAAGAAAAGTTTGCTTCAAAAGTTATTTATACACGTTAGCCATTATATATCCTCTTCATGTTTTAGCAATTATGTAAACTTGATTGTGTGATTGGAAGTGTTTTATACTTTTATTAATTGTTGGTGGCTCAAAAGATTTGAGAAAAAATTATCAAATACTATTGTTTGCCGCCATCTGAAAAGTAAATGATTCGAGAGTTCAATCATAAAATGTAGATAGTAATTTACTCTCAATACCGATGATAGAAGCTAGGGACGGAGCGAAGTTGTTGATGTTACACCCATGAAATATGGAAAGTGACAAACATTAGGAGCTACCCGCGAGTAATGCTATCATTTCTATTTTGCTTTTAATATCTTTTTAGGATGAAAAAGTATGTGACTTTGAATATTCAAGTGTGAATTTTTCCTAGATCGGCGATTTTCGTTATTTATTATGATATGGTGTCAATTTGCTCGATGAGTTATAAGTAATTTATGGATGTGATAGCTAGTTAACAAAATTTAAGATTATTCTATATACAGTCGAGTTTTGAATTCTTCTCAACATATGATTATTAATGGAAAATCTTATGCATTTCACGACCCTTTGGGTGGTATTGAGATTAATGAATTCAATGGATGTTTTAATGAGGGTCACCAAAGAAAAGTCTAATATTGTTAGGACAATGTGAATCCTTATAGAGAGATTTTGAAGAATAAAAAAGGATAACCTTGATTAGGTAATTTATGCTTCCAAAGAATTAGATATCCAAGTCTCAATGCAAGAGAGAAATTTTAAAAAGATTGATATAGGTCAAATTGGACAATCACATTTTTTTCAATAATTTTCTTTAAAGGTATATGTATATATTTATGGGTTGTATCAAAGCATAATGTACTTACTTCCAAGTTCTAATGTAATTTATCTTAATCACACAAAATTATTCCAACATTATTTTTACTGATATTATTATATTATTTTTATAGATAATTAATGAATTTAAAACACGGGGGCCGCCCTCTCTGGACCAAATATCTAGTTAATTTTATTATATAAAGAGTGTTTAATATAATACTATTAGTAATTTCAAGTATTTTTTACTTTTTAGTAGGATCTTACCGTGTGAAATTCCCAATGATAGAGTATATAGTCCAAATCGTAGGTGTCTGCCGCCCTCTCGTTTTGGTCACCTCCTCCCATAGGTGTCTGCCGCTGTAAACCCACCACCAGAACTACATCCATTTCACACACTTTTTCACAGGGAACTTCCCAGAAGTGTATGATTGGAAACAAATATGCACAAAAGAAAAACTCATAAATTAATTTAACACAAGTTTAAGTAAAATAGAATTATTGTAACCCTATTAAAAGAAAAATTAAATATTAAATAATTAGAATCTGGATCACCTCATTCGACAAAAGAGCTCCATTATCGGACATACTGTATCTTTACCAGAAAACATGAAATCTGGCCACCTCCGCTCGATTTTCATATCAAACATCCATTTTTCAAAGAACCTATAAAATAGATAAAATATTTATAGTCAATCTAATTTATTCTCAACACATCTTCGAATCGATCTATACAACCGATTACCCAGAAAATAATGGTCATATGAATCCTAAGATTGATTTACAACGATTATGTAGATATCAATCATATAATTAGGCATGCATTTAGAAAAGGGTATTGAATGTGTAAAATCGAACTCTCCTCGACAATGAGCTCTTCCTGCTTATACTTCAATGAAGAAATTGATTTTCATTTTAGGGAAGTCAACCACGTTTTTGTAATTAAAACAACAACAAAAAAAAAAGATGGGAAAATTTTTGAAAAACGGGCAATTGGAGTTTTGAAGGAGTAGCTCCTGGGCTATATGTCCATTTGGCTCGCAAACATAACATTTTACTACTTTCAAAAGTGTTGGGCCGTTTCAAAATTTAAAATTTCAAACAATAATCTAATTATATGTCAAATTAGACAATAATCTAATTATAAAAATGTCGGAGGTGGGAGGATTGGGTGGGGTGGTTAGGAGATTAGGATGAATGATGGTTATTACCAGGAGGTCAAGGTTTTGATTTTACTGGGACCATCTAATTTTCAGGAAAAAATTGGACATATAAAAATGTCGTAATTACTACTACTAATGTATTACTTTTATGGATAATTGGCGAATTTAAAACACGGAAGGTTAATAATCTTTTGAGTTAAAAGTGTTTCCCTCTATTTGAACTACTTCTCTCTCTTCTCTCTCGGCGCACATTACTAAAGTGCAAACGAGTGGAGAAATCGGATTCCCAACCAAAGGAAGAGGTTAGCAAAACATCCCGACCAAAAGATGGAGAGGAGTTCTTAAGATCGGGATCGGTGAGAAAGGTGTTAGTCAGATAAGAAGAAGAACTAGATCTGTTGGTTGCTGTAATTGAATCAAAGTCGGCAAAATCAGCAATCAATTCTCAACAGGATACACCCAAGTAAGGATCAATCCAGATAGAATCATCGAAGGAAGGGAAATTGATAGAAAGCAGTACGAATGGGGTGGAAAGGGTTGAGTCTAACCCTAGAAATTGGGAGAAAATCTCAGGCGTCAGCTCCAATGGTCTTAGAAAGCTGAATGCGGAGATGGTGAGAAGAATTGGGATTCTTTCAACATTGAGCAACACCGTCCGCCATCTAGGAAACTGAGCTTCCTTCAACCCAAACAACAGGAAGAGGTGAAAGTTGGAAAAATTAGGGCGAACACTGAGAACGATTATTGGGCATCATCAATAGTATGTTTTGTCCTGAGCTCTAACCCTCCTTTTTGGGTTATGAATGACTTCATCAGGCGAAGATGGAGACGCCATGGCATAGACAAGGTAATACTGCTCCCTAGTAGATTATTTGTGGTTCAATTTGCTACTATGCATTCTCATGAAGAAGTACTAAGAATTAATATTCATCAATTTGGTGTTAAGCCATTGATTATGAAACCTTGGAATGTTGAACTGGGGATTAACTATAGAGAGTTAGATAGAGTTCTAGTTTGGGTTCAGTTGCATGGGTTGGAATTAAAATACTTGAATCTAACTTCTTTAAGTAGTCTAGCAAGTATCTTGAGTACTCCCTTGATGGCTGATGAATTTACAGTAGCAAAGACAAAAAAGCAGCATGCAAACTTACTGATAGAGATGGAAATTTCAAAAACTGTTATTGATAAGATAGTCTTTGAAGATGAGCTAGGTAATGTTAGAATTCAAAAAGTGGTCTATGAATGGTGTCTTATGAAATGTACTAAGTGTATGGGTTATGAGCACTCAACTGATAAGTGTAGAAAGGGCTTAGAGATTGAAGTGAAGAAACCTAAAATGCCTCAGACAGTATGGAGAAGGTTTAATAAAAAGGTAAAATTGTTGCCGAAGATGCTGGTGACGGAGGTGGTAACGGATACTAAGGATGACTCTGTAGAGGTACTTCTGAGAGAGGAACCTCGCAAAGAGTTAAGAATAGTACACCATCACTGTGCAGCCTCATTGAGGGGAACCAACAAAAGATTATACACCAATCTAAGAAAAACTATGTTATCCCTGATACTAAGGAGGACTGTTGGACAGTCCCCTCAGGGGATAGTCAATAAAACTACCAATTTGGTTGGAGACATGGGTAGGTTGCGTACAATGAGAGGTTCTGAAGAGAGTCAGCCTTTTGATCCTGGAGATTGCTCCCATGAGTAGTACTTTAACATGGAATATAATGGGCCTGAACTCACCCCTGAAACAACAGGAGTTACAATAGATGGTAAGCAAAGAAAGTTTAATATGATAGTAATAATAGAGACTAAGATGGTAAGAGATAGAGGGGAATTATATGCTCAGCAGAAATGGCAGGGTTGGCAGTGGCTTAACACGTATAATAGCCAGGAGAGGGGAAGGATATTCTTATTTTGGACTGATACTATAATAGTGGGAGAACTGAGACAATCAGATCAGTTCCTTCATTGTTGTTGCACTATCAAGAAGGATAAATCTTAGTTCTATTATTCTGTGATTTATGCTTCAAATGATCATGGAGAAAGGGGAAAGCTATGGTATGATTTGGTTGATATAGCAAATGGCATTCAAGGACCCTGGCTTATTATGGGGGACTTTAACAATATTCTTAAGCCAGAGGAAAAGCTTGGTGGAAGGCCTGTAACAGTGCAAGACTATGAAGCATTTCAGTTGTGCTTAGATGACTGTTGGGTGAAAGACTTAAAACAGGTTGGTAAAACTCTTTACCTAGTGCAATCAACGGCTGAGGAGCGAAAGAGTACTCGAAATTGGATAGAGTAATAGTTAATGGGGATTGGGTGGATACTTTCCCAGATTCCTTTGTTTCAGTAAAAACAGAGAGTATCTCTGACCATTCCCTGTTGTTTATGAGACTATGGGTAGAGAGTGACAAGAAAAGAAAACCTTTCAAGTTCTTTAATATGTGGATTCAATCTACACAGCTCCTTGAGTTAGTAAACAAAAGTTGGTTGGAAGAGGTAAGGGCCTCCAAAATGTTTCAATTAGATATTAAACTGAGAATATTGAGGCCGAGGTTGAAAACCCTAAATAGAATCTAGTTTAGCAGTATTGTTGAAATAGCTGCTAAGGATAAAACCATGATGCAGGAATTGCAAGAAGCTTTGAGTATGAATATAGGTAATCATGAGCTGCAATGTAAGGTGAGGGATGCAGTTAAGTGTTATACACAATCCAGTAAAGCTGCCACAAGCTTCTTAAAACATAAGGTAAAAGAGAAGTGGGTTGCAGAGGGAAATGAGAACACACAATACTTTCATTCATTGCTGAAAATTAGGACCATGAAGAATAGAATCTGGATGGTGATGGAGGATTCATGAAGAAGGATTAGTGACAAGGATGGTATTGAAAAATATTTCTTAGATTATTACAAAGAACTACTGGGGCAAGATGCAAAGAGAGCCAAAGCTGAGACTGAGGCATTTAAAAATAATCCAGTTCTGAGTGTGGATCAATAGATAAGATTAATCAAGCATGTTGGAAAAGAATAGGTCAAAGATGCACTTGGGGAGATGGATGTGAACAAAAGCCCAGGCCCGGATGGATATAGAGTAGGGTTCTTCAAGGCAGCATGGAGTGTTGTTGACGCAGACCTAACTGAAGTTGTTTTGGAGTTTTTCTCAACAGGTCAGATGTTTAAACAAGTAAATTCTACTTTACTAGTTTTGATTCCTAAATGTGAAGTTCCTGTAAATGCTACTAATTTTCGCCCTATTGTATGTTACAATGTTATTTATAAATGTATCTAAAAAATCATATGTAATAGATTGAGATATATCTTAACTGTATTAGTAGGAGAGAATCAATTTGCTTTTGTAAATGACAGACTTATAATGCATAATGTAATGATAACCCAAGAGCTGATTAGATTATATGGGAAGAAGGGTGTTAGTGGTAGATTGTTAATGAAGATAGACTTGAAGAAGACCTATGATACGGTTGAGTGGGGATTTGTTGAAGAAATGTTGCCAGGGTTTGGTTTCCTAGAACAATTTAGGAACTGGATTATTGCTTGTGTAATGTCCCCTAGTTTCTCTTTGTCAATAAATGGGAGCACTGCTGGTTATTTTCCTGGGAAAAGAGGGCTAAGGCAGAGAGACCCTGTTTCTCCCATTCTCTTTGTTTTAGTGATGGAATATTTACCTAGGAGTCTAAAACTAATAGCGGATAAGGATTTCGACTTTCATCCCATGTGCAAATAGCTGAAGCTGACAAACATCTACTTTGCAAATGATTTAATGATATTCTGTAAAGCAGATGTAGGGTCAGACCGAAAAATTATGATGGTGTTTGATAAGTTTTTGAGAACAACTGGGCTGGTAACAAATTTGAAGAAGTCTATTGTCTACTTTGGGAGGGGGGTAAATCACAAGTTGCAGGAGTAAATATGTAGAATAACTCAGTTTTCAGCTGCCACTTTCCCTATGAAGTATCTAGGGGTCTCATTACCTCCGAAAAAATGGTCGAAAATTGAGTGCCAGGAGATAATTAACAGAATCGTGGGCAGAGTCAAATGCTGGAGCACAAGACATTTGGCTTATGATGGGAGATTGGTGTTGATTAACTCGGTATTGATGTCTATGCACACCTACTGGGCCTCTATCTTCATCTTGCCACAAAGCGTAACTACCATAGTGAATAGAATCTGTCGGGAGTTTTGTAGGGAGTCAGAAGTGGGGGTAGGGCTCTGTCATTAATGAACTGGGAGGATGTATATAGGAGTAAAGGTATAGGTGATTTAGGGATTAAAGATGTAAAATGGTGGAACAAGGCTGTAATAGTGAAGCAGATATGGCATTTGGTCCAGGAAAAAAAAACTCCCTCTAGGTTCATTGGATGTATGGAGCGTATATAAAAAAGCATCCTATCTAGGATGTCTAGTTGAAGACTGACTCCAGTTGGCAGTGGGAGCAGTTGCTAAAGATTCGAGATCAAATTATTAGTGCATTTGAAGATAACAGTTGGAAAAAGCATCCTTAGGGCAAGTACACAATTGCAGCTGGTCATCAATGGTTCACAGGGCATGATTAGAAAATGGAAGCAACACATTGTAATTAGAACTTGGAAGGGCCTGACCATTCCTAAGCATGCATTCATTGCATGGTTAGTGTGGAAAGGTAGATTGCTGACCAGAGAAAGACTAGTGCAACTGCACTTGGAGATTCCTAATGTTAACTATTTATTGTGTCAGCAGAATCCTAAAACAGTAGAACATTTGTATTTTCAACGTAGCTTTGTTGATGCTCCATTGTCTCTAGTAAGTCACTGGATTGGTTGCAGAAAATTGGCTACTGTTGATAGCAGGTGGAAAGTGCAAATCCTAAAATACTGGAAAGGAGCAAAACTGAAAAGGAAGATTTTCCTTGCAACTGTTAATGCATGCCTTTATAATATCTGGGAAGAACGAAAAAAGCAGTATTTTGATTGAAAGGAAAGAACGCCACAGGAACTACTCATAGTGATTCAGCAGGAACTCCAAGCTAGGTGTTTGAACATGGTAAAGGTTGAGTATTCTGATACTGAAAAAAGATTGTTGCAGTAGTCGTTTCCTTAGAACTCAATTAATATAATAGTTAGATGTTGGAACTGTGTTTATTTATGTGACAAGGGCAGGGTAGGAAAAGTGGTAGTTGATAGAGGGAACAAATGAACAAGTGTACATAATGCTCACTTTGGTGATTATGTAAATAAAATTTACCGTTTTGCACAACAACACAAAAATAAAAATGGGAGGCTATTCGAGCAATTACAGTTTTTATTAAACTAATTATAGGTCAAATTGGACAATCATTTTTTTTCAACAATTTTTTAACAAGGATTTATATTTATGAGTTGTATCAAAGCTTAATGTAATTCCAATTTAATATATCTTAATCACAAAAAATTTATTCCAACATTATTTTTAGTAATATTATTGCATTGTTTTTATTGATAATTAACAAATTTAAAACACGGGCCACCCCACCCGAGCATATGTTCAGATCCATTATATTTGATTTTTTAATATAAAGAGTGTTTACTGCAATACTATTAATAATTTTAAATATTTTTTATTTTTTAGTAGGATCTTACGGTATAGAATCCCTACTGATAGAGTATATAGTCCAAATTGTAGGGTTTAAAGTTTCTCTTTTTGGCCTTCTCTTTCCGCTGATGTCTGCTGCTGTACCTACCACTAGAACCACAACCCTTCGACACACTTTTTACCGAGAATTCCCTAATTAAGTGTATTATTGAAACAAATATGAAAAAGAAAAAATCCTCATAAATCAATTTAATACAAATGTAATTGAAGTGGCATTATTGAAACCATATTAAAAGAAAAATTAAATATTAAACAATTTGAAATCTAAATCAGCTTATTCGATGACGGAGCTCCATTATTGGACACAGTGCATCTTCACCAAAAAACATGAGATCTGACCACCTCAGCTCCATATTCATATTAAACATCCATTTTTCAAAGAACCCATAAAATAGAGAAAACACGTACAATCAATCTAACCCATTCTCTACACATCTTCGAATCCGATTTATGCAATCGATTACCCGAAAAATACTAATCATATGAATCCTAAGATTGATATACAACGATTACATAGATGTCAATCATATAATTAAATATGCATTTAGAAATGGGTATTGTGTGTGTAAAATCTAATTCCCCCGGCAATGAGCTACTCCTGCTTATACGTCAATGAAGAAAGTGATTTTCATTTTAGGTAAGTCAACTACCTTTTTGTTGAAGGAGTAGCTCCTGGGCTACATGTCCATTTGACCCGCAAATAAAACATTTTATTACTTTCAAAAGTGTTGGGCCTGTTTCAAAATTTAAAATTTCAAACATTAATCTAATTATACGTGATAATTATATTTTATTTAAATTTTTTTTAACAGTACATATAAAAATGTCGTAGTTACTACTGTGTATTATTACTATGGATAATTAGCGAATTTAAACACGGGAGGTTGTTTGGGCAATTACTTATTTTTATTAATGTAATTATAGGTCAAACTAGATGTTTGCCTCGGGCGAATGCCCGGGGTGCATGTATTTTAAATTTGTTAAGCAAAAAAAAAAAACAAAAATAATAAATTATTGTAAGACAAAAATAATACATTTTATTATAATATATATATATATATATAATGATATCGGACACTATTTCAATTTTGTTCACCAAAATTGGTTCCTCTTTTGAAAGGTTAGAATAAGCTTTGATCCATTGCTCATCAGTCTTCAAATTTGTAGCCTGCAATCTAAAAGTCCATCAAACTCAATTCATGAGAAAATTAGACAGAATTGATACACCAGTCATCCTTTGTACAAAATGAATCATCATTTTCCCCTTTTTTTCTTCTCATTGTATTAAAGTAGCTAGCATGAAGAAAACAGATGTTTTGCACTCCTAAAATTCTTTTCTAAGTGTCCAAATTAATCGATGTACTTTACAGAGAATTGACACACACTCTACATCAATTAACAATTCTTGCAAGAAAAGGAGAAAAATTGTAACAAACCTTCAAGCCTTTAATTTCCTCAAGGACCTTCGACTCCATCTGAATTCTTATTGCTGAAGCGTCGGCAGTAAGAAGGACTACCTGTGCTTCTCCTGTAGGAAGAGACAAATATATATGCCATAAATTTGCATCTAATTACATAGTTTCCATGCCCATATTTATTGAACAATTTAAAATTCACAAAAAAAATTAAATTTGCAAATGAACGCTAAACTAAATGATTAACTATATCATATCAGTTCACTTGCCTCTAGCTATATTACTAAGTATACATCATTCAGACCTATCCAGTAAAGTTATTTTTGACAAAAGAACTACAATATCAAACATGTAAAAACCCTCAATATTAGAAATGTCTTCCTCACCGGTATCATTCTTCTTTCTGATATTACTTTCTCTTTCAGCATCCTCTTTTTGCTGCAAGATCCTAGCCGGTGCCCTGTTGAATCCCTTTGCCTCCGCATTTAGCCTCCAAGTTCTGATCCTGTGATTCCCATTTGTAATTTTAGGCTTATGGTGGATAATTGGGTTTACCGGAGACCTATGAACAAGAAGAAGCAATTATTGTAATTCAATGACTATACTAATCCTTACATTAAGAATATTAACTTATCCAACCGTAACAAACACAATCTGAACATCTAGTTGTACCAAATAAAATCAGCAAAAACAATCTCAAAAACAAATATGGATTTGCTTGAATCATTAAGCACACAAATAGACAATCTCAAAAAATATCCACAGCAAAAGAATCCATCAATCAAAATTTTAAACACAATTGTGAATGCTATAGGATAATCTAAATTTCAGTTTTCAAAAAAGGGCATCCTGAAATTAACAGTGCCATTCCAAATTTGTTCTGAATACTTAAAACTCATTCCACCTGACAGCAAGTTTAAAACTCAATCCTTCAATAAACAAACTACAGATAAAAATTTGGAAATCAACCAAATCACACACGTATACAATTTAACTGATATATTCAAATTTAGAGACCTCTTCTGATTTTATTGAAAAAAATGAAGAAACTTGATAATATGTTTACCCAGGATAAATAGTCTAGATCCAATTGGCCCTAAATGAAGAAACTTTGACTGTCTCTAAGTACAACCACATTCTTCCAAGATAAAATCAAGATGAACATAAGTTCCCAACCTCAGAATACATGAAGTTTTTTTAGCATTCGAAGAATAATTTGAATAGAGAAAGCACCAAAAAGAGATTTGATAGCTGTTTTTTCCCATAAATTTTGCAATCACTTGTTTATGCATCAGTTCAAGCGTTTGTATCAACTGATCGCACATCTTTCACAGAACAACTACTTAAAATTTAAATTACTTAACAAAACAACTACTTGAAATTTTCTTGTACGCCATCACACAAACATTCAAATGAAATGAATATAATTAGTGGAATCAAATATGAAATATATCCACTAACTAAGGAATTACCTCAGTGCAGTAAGTCAGTGTTTGCTAGTCCTTTGGTTCTGGGTTTGCTGTTGCTGAATTAAAAATGATCCGCAAAACTTCTCTTCCTCAAATCAGATGGAATGGAGCCACCGTTGAGATTAGAAAACCAGAAGAATAGATAGCAGCAGATCTTTTCTCGATGAACATATTTGGATCTTCAAAAAGAAAATTAAAAAAAGCCGATAAAATTGATTCAACCCAGAACCAAAACCTCCACAAAAAAAAACCAATAATGATGACGATAATAAAAGATCATTGATTAAATCAATATTTGAAAAATAAATTCAAGAAATATAGTACCATGGAGAATCAGCCAGTTGTTGCCGTATTATCGCAAATCTCTCAATCTCAACAGGTTGTTACGGCAGGTTTCTCATCGTTATTCCATGAGATCTGATGTAGAGCCATAACATCGAAAATATTTTGGGACTGAGGAGAAGGCTGACTAAAAATCGCATATCCACTTCAGTATCTCATCTTCAACACCAAAATTCTCACGGAGCAGCGATGATTTTGCTTTTTTTGGGCCTTCTCTTTGAAAATTGAAATTGATTCGAAAAAGTGGATTCATATGCATATTGAGAGTGATTGAATCATGAATTTAGGGATTCCATTGATGAAGACGCGTTGTTGGCTTAAAAATAGGGATATTATCCCGAATTTTATTTCTCCAATACTGCTGTTTCATGGGTTTTATTTAAGGTATATTAACCTTTAACTCCCTGATTTAGTGGTACATTTAAAATATCCACGGTTTTCCTTATTATTATCGTATTTATTTAAATTTAAACTGGCAATGGCTAAAATTGGGGAATCTGTTGTGTGAGAATATATACTTACATATAATCATATATGGATATTTATCTATGTAATTTGTTAAAGACAGTTTTATTTTATCTCTTTTTTCCGACCTTTTTCGGCCATTTTATGGCCTTTTTTATTCACTGAAAAAACCTTTTAAGCCATCATTTTTTCTGCAAATTTAGAGTGCCACGTGTCGATTTTCATTTTGTACTAAAAAAGGCCTTTGGCGGATAAATTTTTAACGTGGAGCTGACATGTGTCTTTCTTGTATGTTGCTTTAATTAAGTATAATAGATTGGATAATTATATTTTTTTCCAACGATTTTTTGTAACAAGAATGTATATATTTATGAGTTGTATCATAGGTTAATGTAATTTTGATTTAATATATCTAAATCACATAAAATTTGTTCCAACATTATTTTAAGTAATATTATTGTATTGTTTTTATTGATAATTAACGAATTTAAATACGAGAGCTGGCCCCGGATTTGTCCGGATCCAGCATCTAATTAATTTTATTATATAAACTATAAAGAGTGTATACTGTATCACTACTACTGTAAAACCTCTACAAATTAATACAATTGGGCCTCTAAAAATTTATTAATTATTATCGATAAATTAATAATTATTAATTTAGATAAGTTAATATTTTATTAATTTAAAAAGTTTTTTCAATCCCATAAGTAAGAAAATAAGAAAATTTATTATTTTTTTATTCAAGAAAAGTCCGATGCAGCTCTAGTCATAACATTATAATTTTTTTAATGGACCAAAAACATGATAATTGCAAATATAAACAAAAATACTTAATAAAATCTAAGCTAATATTCAAATTTAATTTATTATTTTAGATATTTATTAGTTTATGAAATTATGGAAACCTATATTTACATAAGAGGTTCTTGAAAAATTATTATCTTATAAATTAATCGAGTTTTTCTATTTTTTGTACTGATCCTAAGTTGGGACCGGAAAAAATATTATTAATAGATATTATTATTAATAAACGCTTAATTTAGGAATGTTTTATTTATTAAAGTAATTTTTTACTTATTAATTTATGTACATCTATAAATTAATGATTTTATGGGATCCTAACAATATTTTTTTTTATAAATATTTTACTGTAATATTATTAAGTACTTTTTTACTTTTACTAAGATAAGATGTGGTGGGGATGGGAGTAGCATTCAGTACTAATAGTAGGGTTTCTCTTTTTTGCCACCTTCTCCCGCAGATGTCTGCCGCCGTAAACCCACCACCACAACCCCTCTTACGCTGTAACGACGCAAAAATCACCATCTGAATGCATAAGACATACGTATATTTGAAGCTATTGCATTCATAGAGAAAGAGGGGAGGTGTGCTAATTGAGGTTTTTTTTTTTTTTTTTTTTCTCAATGGCGGCTGCGATGAATCCCTTATTGGAGCAGCTCGGCTCTGGGAGGGAATCGGAAATGGATTCGGCATCGAATTCAAATCCATCTACGACTTTGTTCCATCGTCGGATTGAGTTTCATGCGGCCCGGAAGCCATTTTCGGGCTTTACCGAGGGAGGAGATAGTGGGTTTAAGCTCGTGACATTAAACCCCAATTCCAATTTCAGCTCTAATTCGGAGCCTAAAAAAGGTTGCTTTCTGTCGGGGAAGGCCTCGGACCATTCGTTGGAGCTTAATAGTAATGGGTTGGATCCGGAGCTCAGCTTCAGGATTACATTCAGAAGAATTGTAAGAATTTTCTTTTGAAAAGCTGATGTTTTGAATTTCCGATGGTTCAGTTTAGGAAATGCTGTATCTTTAAGCTTTCTGTCTTCAGAGGCGTCGGTGTTTTGGGTTAAACGGCATTTATTCTCGAGGGCTGGATTTTGTGGGATCAAATTTTTACGGGTTTCTCTTCTGCTTTATTAAAATTATTTATGGGTTTTGGATGATTTTTCTTATCTTTTCAAATTGATCATTTTTCTTAGCATCCACTTAGTCGTTTTTTTCCGGCTTCGTTAGAATAGACTTTTGTAATCTGGAAAGCTTTGGTCTTTGTTAAACCTTTGTCGCAGAAGTTGGTTAGCTACCCAAAATTTTTTATGAGAAAAATATGTCAGTCTTTACTGTTATTTTTTAAGTTTATGTATCTGTAGTGCCCTACTGAGCTTTCTCTTCAACATTTTGGATGCTTTATGAAGTTAAACCTTTCATCAAGGACCTGAAAATTTGAAGTTGTTTTTTCTTTTACAACAAAAAAGGAGAAGCCTGTACTTAAAAATCTTGGATACCATTGACATTTACCTTATATTCACTTCCAAGTGAATTTGGGTTTTCTGTTCAAGCTCATGGAAAATTACAACTGCCTAGCTGCATTATGATGACAGGGTGCTGGATTGCAAAATCTTGGAAACACTTGTTTCCTCAATTCGGTTTTGCAATGTCTGACATACACTGAGCCGCTTGCCGCTTATTTACAAAGTGGACGTCATAAAAATTCATGTAGGCCCTCTCTCTCACACTTAAATGAACATAGACCCAGTTTGTTTTAAAAAATGTCAGCTTTTATTGGCAAAATGATTGAATTAATTTTACAAGGTGATGGATGATATTGCCAGTCTTGATTGCCTTTTCTTCGTGATGTTTTAATGGCTACGTACTAAATAACTCCATTTTGCTCAATGATGTGATTTAATGAGGTCAATTTTTTAATTTTGTTTGTTTCTTTTTCCCATATGGTAGGTCGTATGGCTGGATTTTGTGCCTTATGCGCTATTCAAAATCATGTCAGCCGTGCTTTGGAATCAACTGGGAGGATTTTGGCTCCAAAAGATCTTGTATCGAACTTGCGATGTATCCTTAACTTGTTTCATTTTTATACTAGTTTTTGCTGTGCCTTTTGACATACTTAATAATTTGCTGCCTCATGGTGCCGTCACCTAAATGTTCAACATATATATATATATATATATTTTAATTTTTGTGTTTTGCTGCACAGCACCTCTATGTCAGTTCTTGATAACTCTTGTTCCACCAGCTGTTGACCTGTTCCATTTCCTAATACCTTTCTGTTAAGCACCAATCTTCTGTGTTGGGATTTTATTGTGGATTTGTTTCTATTTGGATCTTTAACTTACAACTTAAGGTATATCAAGGAGCTTTAGAAATGCTCGACAGGAGGATGCCCATGAATACATGGTGAATTTGTTAGAATCAATGCATAAATGTTGCCTACCTTCTGGAATGCCGAGTGAGTCACCTACTGCTTATGAGAAAAGTTTGGTCCATAAGATATTTGGCGGTCGTCTACGTAGCCAGGTAACTGACTGAATTTTTGCTAGGTTTCTACTGCTTAGAATAAACATGGATGAGTAACAATGGCAGTTTGGAGAAATGTATTTTTTGGATTACTTTTGATTTCCTATCATATTTTGGTAGGGATTATAGCTCGGCAATTGCAAAAGGTTTGGGTTCATATGTTCCAAAAGATATGTATATTGAAGAGTCTTTTCATGTAGTTTTACATGTAATTTTTGCATCTAATTGCATGTAACCTTTTCTGGCATAGTAGTTTTTTGCTTGTAACTTTATCCTAGCTGAACTAATAATAATTACTCACCTTTTCCTGAAGTGTGTTTTTGGATGTAACTTTGTTCAAGCTGAACTAAGAATGATTTCTCACATTTTACAGGTGAAATGCATGCAGTGTTCCTTTTGCTCAAATAAGTTTGACCCCTTTCTGGATCTGAGTCTAGAAATAAATAAGGCAGATTCATTGCATAAGGCTTTAGTTCATTTTACTGCTTCGGAGCAATTAGATGGAGGGGAGAGGCAGTATCAATGCCAGCAATGCAAGCAGAAAGTCAGGGCTCTTAAGCAGCTAACTATTTACAAGGCACCTGAAGTTCTTTCTATCCACCTGAAGCGTTTTGGTTCTTTTCGAGGCCAGAAGATTGACAAAAAAATACAGTTCGGCCCTACATTGGACTTGAAGTCTTTTGTTACTGGTCCTTATGTAAGTATTCAATGAACTCAAATTTAAGGCCCCAAGAACCTCCATTCAAAAATAATTTGGACATTTTTATTAAAGAACTATTAACATCAATGGACTGAAATAGCAACGACCCATTGAAGTTCTCCTAAGTCTGAAATTCTGGTCACTAAAAAGGATGGAAGAGTCAGTTGATAGTTTCTCATTTGGCTCTTGAGTAAAATTCTTCCAGTGTCATTATGAAGAAGTTAATAATGAACCTTTGTGCTTCTAAGCTATCCTTTTGGGTTGTTGTTCCAGAATAATGACATCTGAATAACAGCTTCTAGTTAACTTTTTACCAAGGACACTGAACATCATGAGATAGTATGTCGTTCATTTGCAGGTCTAGTAAAGAACAAATATATTGATAGTACAAGTTTTTGGTTTTTGATCAAATTGCTCATGGCCTTTTAACTGGAAATGTAAATTAGAGTGGCGGCCTAATAGTAGCTTTTTAGATACGTGATATTTTTTTTGGATTTTTGTTGGACCTTTCCTTCTAAAGGATGGTTTTGAGTACTTTCCAAAACATCCTTTTGTTTTTGGCATGCATCGGAATGGTTTATATACTAATGACGAGTAGCTTTGACAAATGAATCCCTGCTCTTTTAGCACATCCTTTGTCAGTTTTTATTGATTTTAGTTGACGATGGTTTTGCCTTACCTCAATTTGTTGTAGGATGGAGATCTAAAATATACACTGTATGGCGTGCTCGTACATGCTGGTTGGAGCACTCATTCTGGCCATTATTACTGCTTTGTTCGCACGTCGAGTGGCATGTGGTACTCCCTTGATGATAATCGGGTATGGAGGCTTAATATTTGTTAGTGTACTCTTCTGCAACTAAATGAAGCTTTTGTCATCTATCTTCGTGGAAGAGATTGTGACTAATTCTTTACCAGTCTTCTTTACCTGAGATGTTTATCACCTTATAGTCTTGATGTTGATGATGTGATCCATATGTTTGTCACCTTATAGTCTTGATGTTGATGATGTGATCCATATAGCTGACCCCGCTTAGTGTGATGAAGGGTCCTTGTTGTTTTAAGTAATTTGTGTCATGGTATATCGTGATAATTAGTATTTTAAGTGGATATCGCTGTGCTGATATAATACATTTTTAAAAGCTCATCTTGTGGTTTAGTATGTCGCCTTTTTTTCGTATTAATTCTCGTCTCAGTTTGTCAAAGTTGATTTCTGTCCTTGTCAATGAATAATTAAGCTACTTGTTTCAATGAAGTGTTTATTTCAAGCGACAATGTATGTGAATGTTGTTTTTATTGAAACTGGTGCATCTTGAATTTTACAGGTTTATCAGGTTAGTGAAAAGACAGTTTTGGAGCAGAAGGCTTACATGTTGTTTTATGTCCGTGATAGAACATTTTCCCTCTCAAAGAAAACCAGTACATTACGCCAAGACAGTATGGCTATGTCAAGCAGAAATGCCTCGTCTATGTTTAGTCAAGGACTAAAGGCAAGTACTACAAACGGAATAATGGTGAATAAGTTGAAGGATACCCTATCTGCTGAAGTTGCTAAAAAACAAGCACCGAATCCTCTTATGGTGACAAAGGAATTACAGCTAAAAATGGATCCTCATCCGGGTAGTAACTGCCCCACTGCTCAAGTGAGTTCTCATCTGAATAGTAATGGCTCCACAGCTCAAGTGGGTTCTCATCTGAAAAGTAATGGCTCCACAGCTCAAATTGGTTCTCATCTGAGTAGTCAAACGAATTCTTGTCAGGATAGCAATGGCCCTACACCCAAAGTGGATTCCCATCAGAATGGTAATCTCCTGACATCTCCAACATGCTCATTTTCTTGCAAAGAACAACATACAGAAAATTTGTTGAAGGTCTCGGCAACAGTTGGCTTGGAGAAAGGGTTGTCAATTTCAAAATTGAAAGTTGATGAGCCCTCATTGCAAACTGTTCTGTCTTTGAAGGGATCTGGTTCTGTTGAATTTTCAAATTCTGCAAACAAGAGCAGTTGCACCAGTAATGGTCTTACGGTTCCTATTACTGTTCAGCATGACTGTGATGGTCTTTGCTATTCTCCAAGCAAGAATGAGAATGCCTCTGTAACACCATCAAATGCTGATAACCTCAAAGCAGATCCCATGGGAGATCCTTGTAGTGTCACTGATAGACCATCAAACTTAAATGTACAGCATGCCAGTCCACGAGATGCATCTCATCCGACGGATAATGATGTTGAAAAGGTAATCAGTATTATGTGGTGGAAGACACTACTGTTGTATTTACTTTTTATTTTTGTGTTTAATAATGATAATTTTCCTGATTACTAGTTTTGTACACTTAATAAGCTTTAAACTATAAAGTCAAATTTTGGTTATTTAATCAATGTGTCGACAGTGAAAAAACTTATTTTGTTCCTCTCTTTTTCTTCCTTTGTATATATCTAATTTAATGTTCTGTAGGTGGGTGGTTTCTCAAAGAGCACTGGTACTGCTGATCCGTCTGTTCGAAAAGCTGATGACAGTGTTGAAAATAAATCATGTCTGTCCAAAACACATAACGGTTTGGTTCGTGGAAAGTCTCTATATAACAAGCTCAGTGCTGTTAAACTGAAGCCTCTGAAACGCTGTCTACCCGCCCGGAAAATGAGCAAAAGTATCATTTTTGGAGCAGCCTTTGGACGTAGAAAGAAGTTAGACAGGCGTGAACGCTATACCTTAATGAAGTTGGACGGTGATAGTCTTCAAACAGAGCTAAGGTCATTGACTTCTGAGAAATCGGCAGGTTCCTCGCTGAAGAGATTGAAATGTGGTTCCCATGAGAAAGATAAGATTTTAGGTAAAAGGAAACTTACTGATAATGGTGACAAGCTGAAGGGCAGCAAAGATGTAAATAGAGATAATATTGGTCAGTGTTGCAAATCGCTGGCCACAAGTACAGATGTGGGGATGACTTCTTCTGTTACCCTGGGTGTAAAGTCAGTTGATGCTGTAAAGTCCGGTGATTCAAAGTGCAACAAACGAGAATCTGAGGAAAATGGTTTCATAAGTAAGCTCACCAGAGATATACAAGAGACGACCGGTGAGTAATTGAATTTAAGGGCTCCGTCAAGTATATGAACTTTTCTATATAATCTCATCATAACGTTTCCCGATTTCATCTATTGGTTTTTTGCTAGGGAGGCTACCTGTAATCTTTTTCTTCTTTTGCGTTTGAGAGATGATATTTCCTTTTCTTGGTTTTTGTGACAGTTGCCCGATGGGATGATGTGGAGCATCCTTCTAGTTGTGTAGAACCCAAAAGCAAGGATCTGACAATTGGTTATATTCCAGATGAGTGGTAAGTCTTGTACAGATCCTTTGAAATCTTTTTGTTGTCTGTATTTTCTTGTACTTTGATGTACCTTTTCTATGTTCAAAACTAGTATGCAGCTCAATACAATATAATCATCTCCTAATCGTACTATGGCTAGTAGTTTGTAAGTTTTTGGTAGCGGAATACCTATCAATTTTATTTGAAAATTGATATGAACCACTGCATAATTCACTTAGTTTCTTTATTTTCTGCGCTGAATTATTTCAATGGTCATTTCTCTTATGTCTGTTTCTGTTTTTGGCATTCTCTTCCAGGGACGAAGCATACGATGCTGGAAAAAGGAAGAAGATTAGAAGTGCCAAGATCGTTTTTGGTGGTTCCAATCCTTTCCAGGAAATTGCAATGAGAAAAGCCAAGGCAAAGAAAGGGAAGCTGGACAAATATAGCTCAGCAAACCAGCCATTCAGGATACAATGATGGAACGACGAATAATATTTTTTAGAATTTGTCGAATTGAAGGTGAGTGTATCCATAACAGCGGCGTGTTTGCATTTTTTGGGCATAGATTTTTTACTCGCTTGCCAAGCAGAAGAGAGTGGTTGACGCTTGACACGAATATGTATTGAGAAGTATCCTAATTATTATTCTATTTACTCTAGTGTTTGTTTGTTGATAGTTGGCAGAAGTTGTATTCTCTATGTTTGATCTGGAGTGGAGTAACACACCAGCTTCCGGGATAGCTGGATTTCAAAGTAACTTATGTGTATGTACTTGGGGAATTGATTCTGAGTGATTAAACTCAGCATCTCATCCTAAAGTTTTGTTTAGTTTTTAAGTACTTTGTTTCATCGTAGCCGTAATGTTTGTTTTCTTTTTAATGAAGTGACCATCTTCTCAAAGGGCTAAAAAAACATGGCCACCTTGTGGTCACTTCGGGGACCATAAAGAGTATATCTGTCTGAGACAATCTAGGATGGTGATTAATATTAACTAACAAAACCAACCGTCACATGTGCTGTTTTGCATAAGTTTCTCTTATATAACCCAAGTGGCATGCATTTTTCAATTTGTAGAGTAGCGACAGATCTAATGATTTTCATATTCGAGTAACTGATAGAGACAGTGAAACCATTTAGTAATTCAATGGTACAGTTGATTCCAGCAGTAAAGACCTTGTAATGCAATTTCTTATTCCACTATTGTTTTTGATATCTTCCTTTCACTTAAAGGCTTGGCTTATTTTTGCCCTAAATACTCTAATAAAAATAGTTAGGAATAACAAAGCAACATGTTTCAATATTGGAGGGTACTCTAGGCCATCGATTCATCCAAGAACTGTGGCCATGAGTTTTTATTGTTTCTAACCTTTGAAGTATGATTCCATGATGTTGCCCTTTGCAAGTTGCAAGTGCTACTGAGTGATGATGATGTTATAGCAAAAATGCGATTCAGTGCAGCTCTTCATTGGAATCAATCATAATACGAGTTGATTTAATTTGTTTAAAGTATATCTTAATTTGGAGCACTTAATTAAACGAGAAGATGAGTTGTATTTGGTGGGGATTTGGTGCGAAATGTTTTATGACACTCAAACTCACCGCAACGTAATTTCGTGAATGACAAGTAATTTTTCAGTACTCGAAAATTATTACATCAAAAAGAATGGTACGATTATCACATATTCAAAACTTTTTATCGATGTAATTATGAGTAAAATAATTTGATTTACCACACATTAAATGTCACTAACATACATATATATATTTTTACATTATCAAGAAAGAAATTCCGTCCATATCATACGTTATTTTCAATCATACATACAATTGGAAAATCAAAGAAATCCATACGTAGATGGAAACAAAACACACATAATAAAAAAAAAGAAAAAAGGAAGACATTGGCTGGCAATTGATTAGTGAATATGACAAGAGATAATGAGGCAGATGATTTGCACTCTAACAAGTTGAGGGCTGGTGAGATTGATTCTCTTAAATCTTTTTAATTAATTTGTTCTAATTGTCCAGCTTCCTTAATCAATGCAAATCATTAAAACACCACCCCCACACTTCATCTCCCCCACCTGTTCTTGTGTCGGTGTTGGCGTGCTTAACCTAAAACACACACACACACACACACACACACACACACACACACTTTCTCTATCACACACGCACAAAAGATACAATTTTGTGCAATTGGAAAATGGCTGGAAGTGTCCAATATCTATTGTTAATGTATGTTGGTGACTACTCATCAGAATCATTTGTTTAGGTACTAAAACATCATGGTATACTAGGTTAATTATCGTACTCATTTTCCACGAATGGTCAAAGTTTTGAGAAGTAGATTTGTGTGGTGATATTAGCATCATTAGGGGGAACCTTATAGTTGAATGATTGAATTGTGACAAAAGAATGCGTTTGGTTTACTGATAATCATGGATTAGAATTTGTTTTCAGTCAGACTATTAAGTCAAAATCGAGTACTTAGGTCGATTTGCAATGAGCGTAGGTGTTCCAAGATTTTTATTAAGATAATGTAATGATTTTTTTTTTGGGTCAAAATAATTTAACGATTTTTATTGACATTACGGTTTGCTTTGCCCCAAATATATTTAGAATGCTATGAGAATAAACTAGTAATACGATGATTGTACATTATACGTTTATACTAAAAGTAAAGAGTTTGAATTTTTTTTAAAAAAAAAAAAAAAATTTCGAAATGTTACTAATTGGGAAAATCAAAATTGAACGTTCATTTCCCAATATTTTTAGAAAGAAGGTTTTGAAAGTAAACCTCAAGCTACGCCACGGGCAACTCCAGGCTCTAGCAGCTTCACCTTAGTAGTGATGTTTTGTATCTACTCAATAATTGGGACTAAATCACATATTTTCAATTTTCATATTGGTGGCTCGTGTGCGATTTTCTTCAAAGGTTTTCTTTATTAATTATGAAAGTGATGGAGTTTATTATATGTGCATTGGCCAAATAATAAGATATCGGTATATACAAATCAAATGAATTACAGCCCAATTATTAACAATATTGCGATCAAGTACAAATAAGGAATTTGCCACCTCTTAACCATGATTCTTTTTCGATAATTGATAAATACAGAGCTATTTTGTTATATAGAGAGCAAAATCTTTTCAATTATCAATAATACTATTATTTAAAATTTTAACACTTCTATTATAATTAATTTCTTCATTTTCTCTCTTCTTTTATGGATTAGGTGATAGCCAATCTCCTATTCCAAAAAAACATAAAAATTTGCGTAATTTCTTTTTTCTTCCCCCAAAAAAAAAAAAAAAAATTTCCTTCTCCATTTTTTTTTAAAAAACTAGTGCTGCTTTTTTTCTTTCTCGTTTAATGTGATCTTGAATTAAAACTTCCAGCACAAAAAAAAAAAAAACCTGTTGAAACATGATATTAGAAAATTTTCATGGTGGAAAAAAAAACCATCAACATGGAATATCACCTGTCAATTTTTTATTTGCTTACAACCGAATTGTGTATGTTATATTTATGTTTTTTTATTCTTCATGAAAATTTTCAAATATCATGTTTCGATATTATTATTTTTTAGTTGGTGGTGGAAATTTTAATTCAAAATCACGGGAAATAAGGAGAAAACAAAAGTTACACAAGTTTTTTTTTTTGGATTTGGAGAAAAAAAAGAAATTAGGCAAGTTCTTTGTTTGTTTGTTTTTTTTTTTTGAGATTGGCTTTACCCGACCCATAAAAGAAGAAAGAAAATAAACGAAATTAATTAATATAGATGTGCTACAAATTCATATAAGAGTATTATTGGTACTTAGAAAGATTTTGCTCTTTATATACCAAACCGATTGTGTATTTATCAATTGCCTTCTTATTCAAGTTTTAGCTCCCTCAAAGTCGCATGATAATGTAATTTGAATGCAACATTTTTCTGTTCAAGAATCAAGATACAAAACATAGCTTTAGATTGAATTTTCCAATTTTTTAGCTGCGAACTTTGGAGAGTGAAAAAAAACCTGTACTAGTACACCACATTGAAGACCACAAACTGCACTTTTCTGGTTTCTCTTTCTCCTCTTCTCTGAAAAAATGTCAGTAAAATTAATTGCTACCTCAAATATTAGCTCAAGTTTTGATGATGCAAAACACAAAATTAAGTGCCTTTTTTTTATTGAAGAGTGAAGGCAGTCAGAGTCCACTCAGCTAAAGTGGTTCTGACGAGCTGCTCCATTTAGCCATTAATAGCTGAATTAGACCCACCCCATTGACCATTGTACGTTAGGATTATAAAGTAAAGTAAAGAGACCTAAGAAGACAATAAGTCAAACATTTCCTCAAAAAAAAATAAAAAATCGGTGAGAAAGATCCAAGTTGTTCATATGTAATTTGATTTTAGGCGTTTCACTCAGTATTGTCAGACTCGGACCGGAGGTCGACTCGACAATGGCCAGGGATTGAGCGACTCGGGACGATTCGGGGGTCGACTCGGATAACGTTATAATGATGCAATAAATATTAATTAATTTATAATTATTCATTAATTATAATTTTATAATTTTATATATATTTATCAATTGTTAGAGTCACATTGATAGTTCATAATTTTCAAATGTGTGTTTATATGACCAAATTGAATGAAGGAGGTCAACTAGGATGATGTTATTATACTAAATAAAAAAATTTAGTAATTTAATTCTCTAAAATTTTTTTAAAAATTAAACCTTAAATCTCTTTTTAATTGTAATAGTTGATATTGATATTTTCTAACAATTACTTATTATTTTTGTGAAGTAAATTTGTATATTAATAAAGTAATTAGTATAAATAAATCATTATTTAGAAAAAAATTCTTGAATTTGAAGGATAATTAATATAACATTAAGAAAAAAGTGCTCTGAGATTATTTTTTGTGACATATTAGAGTTATCATATGAATTTTTCTTAAAATGATGGAAGTTGGTAGGTTGTATAGCAAAATTAAAAAAAAATAAAAGAAAATTTAAATTAGTGAGTTAAGAAGTTGAAATTAAAAATGTGGATTAAAATATCAAATTAAAACTTTGAACAAAATAAATACTAAAACTTGTGGGGCTATTTTGAACAAAAAAGAAAAACTTGGCCTTGGAGGAAATGGAATCCATGAAAAATTGTGCAAATTTTGGTAAAAAAGTCAAAGAAACTTAAAATCTCGGTTTGATCCGGTTTTGGCCGATTCACGGTTCGACCGGAGTTTTGACCGATTCACTTTTTGGTGATTTTATATACAGTTCGGCTTGGTTTAAGGTCCGATTCCCGACTTAACCGGTTCAACCGATCGGTCCGAGCCGAGCTTGACAACACTGGTTTCACTTCTTTTACCACCTGCGTCCCAAAAAAAATGCTACACATTGAGTTTTTAAATTTGTACTAGAAATAGTACAAAACTTTTTTTTTAAAAAAAGAATTATTCATATAGATATATAATTATACGTCGGGAACAACTGTAATTGTTAGATTATTAACTTAATCATCCAGTTTTTAAAAAAAAAAACCTAATTTTCATTTAAATGTTTTGATAGAGTTTTGGTATATATGATCCATCTTCTTCCCATCTATATCATGAAAGTGAGGACAGGGAGCAAATCACTATCGTCTTTGAACTTTGAACATCAATTTCTCCATCGCCGTTTTAATTTTTTTTTAATTCATTTTTCATGTGTTGCATATATAAAGATATTGTAGACCAACCTCTTAATTAAGCGATGAATGACTTTCATCTCATTCTTTTATTTCAAAGATCATAACTATCTAACTGTATCAAATGAATTTTGTGTTTACTCATCCTGGGTTGATTTCTGTCACTTCGGTTGTCATGTAGTCACCCTGTTATACATTATATACAATAACCGCAAATGTCATATGATGTTGGATTTTCTTTGTAAATCGTATTATAGAGTTAAAAACTAACATCTTTTCAATCGAAGAATATAGTATTGCTAATGTTGGTAAGGTTTTATGAATTTTTAAATTTAGGATATACTGATATTTACTACTAGTTGTATTGTTCCATTAATGAAGCCATTAGTAGTACATGAGGTATATATTCACGTTCTTTCCGCTTCTGTTTAAAATAAAATTAGACTCTTTTTTATTTTTCTATCTTATCTTTTTATTTTTTTTTTCTTTCTTCTGTTTAAAACATATAAGATCTGATCTCCCATCTTATTGGTGGGATTTGTTAGAGTTAATGATGTGAGGGATTAGTTTAGAAAAAAAAGTTGTCATTTGGACAATAAGAAAAAGAACAAATGAGAAGAAACAAACTGTTTAATTTAGTGACCTCTCCTTTGATTCCAAAATCCAACATTTGCACACTTGTATCATTATTGGATTGATACATGAACAAGTACATTAAAATAGATCATGTTGTGTACCATAAAAGGACGATATATGACACCAAACACAAAACATGTTGTACAGACGATCTCTGCTAATACTACCCACATAATTGAGTCAATCGTGTATTTTATTTTATTTTATTTTTGGAAGCGACATATAATCAAACAATCAACAGTCACATGCCAAATCCTCTATTCAATAATTTGTTCCACTTCCCATCCTTTATTTTTAATGTGGTGAAAAAACCCATATTCGTACATAGTATTTCTGTCGTTAATTCGCCTCTTCCAATTCGGTCCAAAGTTTACTTTGTATCCAAGGGCCGGGGGTGTTTTAATATCTTATGGCTAAAATTTCCAGGGCAAATGCTTGTACTTAGACACATTTTTAAATGTTAGGGTTAGTGTTTATTTTGATACCTATAATAAGTTGTATAAAAAATCGAACATGAATTAATTCGGATTCCGGACGAAACCAAGGCGTAAAAAGATATTTTAGGATGTGGAATACATATGATATCACCTATATATGCTTCAAGGTAAAGCATTGCCATTTTCAACTAAAAGATTGGTCAAAATTGATGAGATTCCCATAATCTACGGAACAATAACATTGACAAATAAATAAATAAAGGGAAGGAATTAAAACCTTTCATGACTTCTGACTTTGAGATTGAGTAGACTCAAAGACTGAAGAGTGGGGAAAAAAAGGTTTATTTAAGGAAATGAATTTGTAAGATAAAAAAAGGAAATGATTCTGGTTTAATGGGGAATTATTTTTGCAAGAGATTCATTGATCTTTCCCTAATCATTATATTAATTAATGTTGATGTGCTGTGGCCTATCTACGTGCTTGATCAAAGCAGTGGTGATCTCTCCGGTCCTTATTATAAGGCATTTTGAGTTTGTCTAAAGTTTTATTTAGGATGTCTTTTTTAATTGAAATAAGAATCTTAAAAATATTTACTAATTATTAGAATTACACCAAATGTGAAAATATATGTTTAATTTTTTTTCTCCAATTAAAAAAGTATCCTATATAAAACTTATGACAAAATCAAAATGTCTTATAATAAGGATCGGAGTGAGTATTTGATTGCAAAATCAAAGCAAAAAAAGAAGAAGAAGATAATGGTCATTGAATAAGTTCTCACCAGACCTTTGATAAATTCCACCAACCAGAGGCATTTGTTTCAACCCAAGTCATTAAATGAAGCCCCCCAACTTCTCACCACTGTCATTTTCTTACACTCAACTAACAACCCCTCTTATTTTTTCCTCATTTTCTCACTTTGTGTCACACTACTAATCATTAAAGATAGTGAATTGTGTTAATGGATTTTAGTCCGAGGGTTAAGACTCTTAGACCTTAGTAGATCTTTATGAACTTGCACGATCAAATATAGAAAAAAGAATATAAAAATAACAGTTTAATGGTGGAAAAAGACATTAGATTGAAGTTTTACGGATCTGAATCCTTAATCTTGTACTATCACTTATAATCTATCGTAAATCTTAATAGGTTCACATCAGTTTCCAGTCGCTGAAGGATTCTTTTGACAATTGGCTTGTCGATCTATGAATATTTTTTAAATTTTTTTTAAATTGGAAGGGAGTTTTTAGATAATCAACTAAAACTCGAGGGTTTTTTTCATATTAAACATTTTTTTAAGCAATCTATTTTTAATATATATAAAGGAAAGAAAAGAAATTATAAAATGTAAATATATACAGAATAAAAATATTAAACAGATAGTATAAATAGATAGTATTTGTTTCATTTCATTTAAAAAAAATCCAATTTTGGACGGAAAGAATACAGTTTCTCAGAACTCATTTATCATCTTTTTATCCACTTTCATCTTTTTCTGTCTTTTAACTTCAAGAGTTTAGATAGTTTTATTTTATTATAGTATTGGTTTTTGGTGTAATAAATCATGAATTTTTATTTGAATATGTAAACATTTTTAAGTCCTTGATTAATGATGTAAGTCTTATGTATCACCGCTTTTATGTGCATCATTTTGCTGCAACTGCCAAAGAAAATCAAAAAAAGAGCACAAATTCCTGCCGGAGAAATAAGCCTCACTTCTCTCACATTCATTCCATTTCTTCCTTCTCTCCACAAAGGCAAAAGCCACCACTCCTCTCACAGGAATTCATTAAATAAAAAGACAAAAGGAAGAATACCCATTTGTTGTTCTTCTTGATAAAGCTTGTTTTTCCAGTCATGTGCTGCTCACTGTACTTTCTTAAGGTTATGGGCACACAAAAAGAACCACCTCAAAGTTGAAAAAGCATAAAAAAAGTGGTTGTTTTTTTTTGTAGCCCAGAAGTAAATATTCTCTTGGAAGCTAGAAAACCACCCCACCACTTTCCCCCTGCAGTTTCTTGGAAGTTAGGATTTTAGGAAGGTGGGTTTATGGTTATGGAGTTCTTGGTGGTGTTGCAGGGGAAGTCAGAAAAGTGATGTTTTTTCAGGCCACTTTTAAGCTACAGTGACTCCAGAGTGGTGGAGGAATTGAAAAAAGTTTTGATAAGTTTTGATTGTGAAGTGACTTTCTTTTCTTTCTTCCCTTCTGGCCTAATCCTCAAAAAAAATGGGGTTTAATTTTTGGGGTTCAATTTTGGTTCTAACTGTTTGCTTTAGGCCATTGGTTTGTCAGCAACCCAATACAGATGGGTCCTTTGTCTCTGATTTCTTCCACAAAATGGGTTTGCATTCCTCCAAAGCTTACAACTTTTCTTCTCATTTTTGTTCTTGGCCTGGGGTGTTTTGTGATGGTAATGAAGAGAGTGTTGTCAAGTTGGTTGCTTCAGGGTTGGGGCTTTCTGGTGTAATCCCTGATAACACCATTGGTAAACTTGTTAAGCTTCAGTATCTGGATCTGAGCAATAATAATATCACTGCTTTACCCTCTGATTTCTGGAGTCTAGGTTTATTGAAAAGCCTGAATCTTTCATTCAACCAAATTTTTGGAGAACTTCCCAGCAACATTGGTAATTTTGGCCAACTTGAAACTTTTGACCTTTCTGGCAATGCATTTTCTGGTAGCATTCCTGAAGCTATCGCCTCCCTTGAAAGGTTGCAAATTCTTAAATTGGATCATAATGGCTTTGAGTCCGGTATTCCACTTGGAATTCTACAATGCCGTTCCCTTGTTGCTATCGATCTCTCCATGAACAAGCTAAATGGTTCTCTGCATGAAGGATTTGGTGCTGCATTTCCGAAGCTAAAGTACTTGAACCTTGCTAGAAATGGCCTTAGCGGAAGAGAATCAGATTTTTCTGGTTTGAAATCAGTTAACTATCTCAACATTTCAGGAAATTCATTCAAGGGTCCAGTTGTTGGTCTTTTTGATGGTCCATTGGAAGTGATTGATTTGAGCAGAAATCAATTTCAAGGCCACATTTCTCAGGTAAATTTCAGTTCCAGCTATGATTTGTCCCACTTATTTTATCTGGATTTATCTGAGAATCAGCTTAGTGGAGAGTTTTTTACTGAGTTAAATGAAGCACAGAATCTCAGACACCTTAATCTTGCACACAACAGATTCTCGAAACAACAATTGTTGCAAGTTAGTAAGCTTCCAGGTTTAGAATATCTGAATTTGTCTGGATGTAATTTGATTGGTGAAATATCTAGCGAATATTCACAGTTGAGCAATCTGAAAACACTTGATCTTTCAAATAACCATCTTGAAGGCCGTATTCCGCTTTTCAGCACCCAAAGCCTTCAAGAACTTGATGTTTCCCATAATAACTTGAGTGGTGAAATCCCCACAAAGCTGGTGCAGAAGCTGCCTTGGATGGAGAGGTTTAATTTCTCTTACAACAACCTAACCTTTTGTGCTTCAGATTTCTCCCCTGAAACCTTCAATTCGGCTTTCATTGGCTCAACAAATAGTTGTCCAATTGCTGCGAATCCTGAACTCTTGAAGAAAAGAGCTCAAAAGCATAGGGGACTCAAGCTTGCCCTTGCATTAACCATTTCAATGGTTTGTTTGCTCATTGGTTTGCTCTTCTTAGCCTTTGGCTGTAGAAGGAAAACCAGGATGTGGGAAATTAAACAGAACTCTTACAAAGAAGAGCAGGTTATATCTGGTCCATTTTCATTCCAGACGGATTCCACAACTTGGGTTGCTGATGTTAAGCAAGCTACATCAGTTCCTGTCGTTATCTTTGAAAAGCCATTGTTGAATTTTACATTTGCAGACCTCTTGTCTGCAACTTCAAATTTCGATCGTGGCACATTATTGGCTGAAGGAAGGTTTGGACCAGTTTATCGTGGTTTTCTGCCTGGTGGGATTCATGTAGCCGTGAAAGTTTTGGTTCACGGATCCACCATGACAGACCAAGAAGCTGCGAGAGAGCTGGAGTATCTCGGTCGCATAAAGCATCCTAATCTAGTTCCTCTCACTGGATATTGCTTGGCTGGAGAGCAGAGGATTGCCATTTATGATTATATGGAGAACGGAAATCTGCAGAATTTACTTCATGACCTCCCTCTTGGGGTTCAAGCTACAGAGGACTGGAGCACAGACACATGGGAAGAAGATGATAACAATTCAATCCAAAATGTAGGTTCTGAAGGCCTTCTAACCACATGGAGATTTAGGCACAAGATTGCGCTTGGCACAGCTCGTGCCCTGGCGTTTCTCCACCATGGCTGTTCTCCTCCAATCATACATAGAGACGTCAAAGCCAGCAGTGTCTATTTGGATCAGAATTTGGAACCAAGACTATCTGACTTCGGGCTTGCTAAAATTTTTGGAAACTCCCTCGAGGATGAGATTGCCCGTGGTTCTCCAGGTTATGTGCCACCAGAATTCATTGAGCCGCAAATCGAGTCCCCTAAAAATCCGACACCAAAATCTGACGTTTATGGTTTTGGAGTCATTCTTTTTGAGCTTATAACTGGGAAAAAGCCTGTTGATGATAACTATCCTGACGAAAAAGAAGGAACCTTAGTGAGCTGGGTGAGAGGACTAATAAGGAGAAATGAAGGCTCAAGAGCCATTGATCCCAAAATCCAGGGGACTGGACTCGAGATGCAAATGGTTGAGGCGTTGAAGATCGGATATCTATGCACGGCCGACCTTCCCTTAAAACGGCCGAGTATGCAACAGGTAGTAGGACTTCTTAAGGACATTGAACCTCTTTCGTAGTTGTGATGAATGCCTTATGTAGAGAAGGCAGTTTTCTTGTTGATCTGTACTATTTGCCGATCTATTGATTTTTGGTTTTTCATTGCTTGCTGCCATATTGGAGAAGTTTTGTACAGCTTAGGTTACATTGAGATCATTTCTTTGTTAACTCATTAATTTAATGGCAGCAAGGCATAATTTATGCCAGTTATTTTGTTTCTTGAAGTTGCAAGAATTCATTTTTCTTCCCTTCAGTCAAGAACTTCTCCATCAACCACATTGCCACTTAACAAACAGATAAGAAGATAAAAAACCTAAGATAAGTTGAAAAACAACCCATTCTCTGTAGTCTATCTGTTTCTTTGAACCACAATCAATCTTTTCAGCCATTTTCCTCTGTGAGGAAGAAAGAAAATCACCGCTCAGAATCTGGTCCCCTGGGGCAAGTTGATTGTGGTTAGTATTCAGCAGCACGAGAATTCTGAGACACACCGTCTACAGTGGACCATTTGTAGAAACTTTGTACCATTTCCATTTATTACTACCTATTTTGTAAATTCTTTGCAGATTTGCAAAATGGACAGATGATGAAATTCTTCTGCCTTTTCTCTCTTTTTTTTAAAAAAACTTTTATTTGTTTAATTTTGGGACTTTGGCGTGGATCAATTTGGATTAGACTCCGAAAGAGAGGTAAATCTCTCCGAACAAGTACGGTAAATGAATGTTCATAGTTAAAATGCAAGTAAGGATTCGAACAGTGAAATCTCTCCGCTTCAAGTTTTGTATTGGATTCTAGACACTATGCAGCAAAGATTTGGCCACTTTTGTAACCTCATCTGTCTTTTTTTGGCATTCCCTTCTTCCTCAGGAACATCATTGTCAAGTCGTCATCCTCCCAAAATGTTTATGGTATATTTGTCTTCAACTTTTTCATCAAGTTTTTATCATTTATGATGGTACCTTCTAGCATTTGTCGTCAACAAAAAATCCCAACAAAATAAATAAATGGTTGACTAGCAGACTAAAATGTTATCATCAAATCATTATCATAATTCATAACAAACCTTAAATAGTCTAGGGAGAGGCTACTTGGAGATTTCTACTATTTCTAAAATAAATTTGACGGTTAATATCAGAATTGAAACGTTCAACTTATTATATTATTGACCGAACTATTTAGTTGACGGAGTTACATAATTTTTGGATACTCTATTCTTTTAGTAATTGTTTAGGCATGTCGAGAAGTTCAATCATTGAAGATCATGTGCATCGATAATTTGATATAATAGATCCGTAAGCGTAAAGTAGCTTCCTTGGAAGCATTTCAAGTACTACAACATTTTAACATGCTCGGAAAACGTGTATGTCCTTAAAAACCTTATGGGGTTCATCATCTAATTAGATTCTTGCCAACACAGTCAAAGCTCATTAGTACTTGCTCTTCATATTAAATGGTTTTTCCCTTGATTGAGTTTTCCTTGCTAATACTGTAGTACATGCATGATGATTCATTTTGAGGTTAGCCCAAAGTTGGGTTTACAAGAAACTTAATAACCAATTAGGGCAGGCTTCATGTGTGTACGTAAACGATAGAAAATGATCATATAACTGGAGATGTATGTATGTGCTGGACATGTTTACTCATTGCGGTACTCGTTATTTTCTAACCAAATTATGTTGTATTGAATTAAAACAACGTAATTAACAGGATTATGATCTCGTTACGGAGAAAGTATACTTAAGGAGGTCCTAACTAGGTCGATCAGTCACATTTCTCATAATTATATAATGTCTTACCGACATACATGATAGGTTGTAAGTTGGTGAAGGTAAAGTGTGTGAATTACAAATTTTATTTTATTTTTTCTTTGTTTTCTTTTCTCCAATTTGAAGTGTGAAGATTGGTTTTGGCTGTCGAGCCTGTCGGATTGCTTCTTCATCAACCCGTTTTACTCATTTCAGATAGGTTGCCCTGTCGCTCTCTCCCCACTCACTCATTTTTTTCTAATCAAATTTCTGAATTATTCTTTTGTTTTGTTTTGTTAACAAATTAAAGTTCCAAAGCATCATGGTAACCCTGTGGTAACCTTCATGCCCCCTCTCAAAGGGTCACAAGTATTTTTTTTCTTTTTTTTTTTTTTGATAAAAGGGTCACAAGTAGTGGATCATCAAAGATTGGCCTTTTTGATTGATTAATAAATGGCAAGAGCAAGCAAATTTGCAGTGGTCACTCACGAGTCACAAATATGGTCAGCTGTTATTTGCATGAATTTCATCAAAACTTTGTTTTCTTCATTGTCACTTGATTTTTTCTTCCTTTTTTTTATAAATAATTATTTTACAAACACATAATCCGATCATGACAAAGTTTTGTGATTACAACTTGCAATAATTGAAGCTTAATACTAGATCGCTGGTGCCTCAAACCTTACATCACCCGAGTTGAAAGTTGAAACTGAAACTCGTATCACTCGACACTTTCCCCTCTGGCATTGCCACTTGATTCACTTGGACAAAAAATGGCATCATACAAGATGGAACCCAAAACTCCAGTCACTCCACTTACAATATTCGCGGAGTTCATCGTGCTAACCTCTTCATTGAAACCCGATTCACAACATTTACCCCTCCCTTAGAAAAGATCCGATCCGGTACAATAAATAAAATAAGAGTTTAGAAATTACATAAGAATATTACGGGAATATGCTACCCTAATAAGATCATGTACCAACTATAGTTTTACCCGTGACAGTGGAGCTTCCAACTGATGCAAACTACTTGCCACAATAAACATGACATTAATACTAATTATAATACTTTCAATTTAGACAAATCCATATCCTTAAAGTTGGTGGCTGAATTGAGTGCAGAATCCGATGCTCTACTGATAATAGTAATACAGTATGAGGGCAATGATAATGGTGGCCTGTAACTCAAATGTACTTTTAAGTTTTAACAACTATTAGCTGAAGAAATTAACTAGTTGCATTAATTAGGAATTCCTTGCATCAGTACATAATGGCAATGATGATGAATTTTAAATCTTCAGGAAAAATTCATGTAAATCTTCAAAAGGAGTAAAGTACTTAGGGGGAGACAATTCCTTGAAGAACAATTTTAAATAATGTTCACACCAAACCATTTTTTGATTCAGATGACACAAAAAAGTTGTTTGATCGAGATAAAGGTTTCATTATCATCACTTCACTTGTTTGGCAAATGATGACCAAATGCTAGCAATGATTTTGTTTTAGGGGTTTGATCTCTATAAAGCTATGGTCTTTTATGCCTTTTTTTGGGGGTCATGAGGACCTTTTTACGTAATACAACACATGAGGCTTTAGAGAGCCATACTATTCTCGTGGCCTATTACCACTACAACAGAACCTGACCCACTTTTGCCACTTTTAGACTTCGATAAACGTGTTAAACTACTTAACTAGGTCAGCCCCATATCAGTTAAGAACTCACATACTCATACAATTTTTAGGTATGAGCCCTTTTCAATATATACAAACGGCAAATTTTAGTATGCATTATAAAAGGACAGCAAAAGAGTATTTGGACGGAGAAAGAGGGGAAAATTCATTCCACTTGACTGATGAAAAAGAAAGTTTGCCAACAAACTCACAACAAACATTTTTAGAGATCGTTTGAGACCTTCCAAACCAAACTATATTCGACGTCTGAACTCGCACACATCGCACAAGTTTATATTGTTGTCTTTTCATATGTGTTAGCATTTATCAGAAAGAGAAATTTTGTTGATGGCACTAATGAAATCAAATAATGAAGATAAATATGTCAATGTATATATATTTTTCGTCGATGATCAATAATAATAAATGATGTCCAAAGGTATATTTCTATTATCTTAAAATGATTTTCACATTAACAAAGTAATTATTTTGAAACATTTCGAACAGGAAATAAATTTTTTTGACACAGTAAACATTTCCACCACTATTTCACCACTGCAATCTATATATTTTCTGTTCCGTCTAAAAACCAGTAAAAGTCGAGTACATTTACAGGCAGTTTTTGACAAAATCGCTTTCTTTGAATGGAGTATGTTTATCGGCTGCAAATGTACTTGATGTTCGTTGAATTGCACAAATTAATCATCTTTAATCAAGACACATTGCCTTTGAGTCTAGTTCCCATTACTCCCTGGATTTCTTGTTATACATTCTTTGGATGCATAATTGAATATCAACTGTTTGATTGTTCGCCTCCAGAGAAATGGACTCCTTGCCTGATTGCATCCTTCAATTCATCATATCTCATATTAACAATGCCAAAGATGTGGCTAGTTGTGCTTATGTTTCCAAACGATGGAAGGACTCAGTGTCATGTGTTCAGAGCCTTTTCCTTCCTCAGGACATTTTGACAATCTCAAGTGTGGGCAAACCCTAGTTGGAATTATCTCCACAATGGTGTCTTCAATTGAGCGGTTGGAAGAACAAGTTGTCTATTGTCCTTTCACCAGCTATGGCCTTGCTTATTGGCTGCAGAAGCAGGGACCATTCCTCCGGAACCTTGAGCTACGAATGGATAATATAGTTGAACACCAGTCGTGCAAGAACACTTTGGTGCATTCCAAAATGGACTGCATTAGGGCTGCACCAAATTTGGAGTCAGTCTCAATGGTTCATTCTCCCAAATGGGACATGTTCCACAGGCTCAAAAATCTTGAAAGAGTTGGGGCCAATACGATTTCTCAATTTGGATAGGATCAAATTCTGCACAAGATAATTCAAGCTACATAATCTCAATGGGTCTGCATAGCAACTTATTGTAACGATTTGATAGGTTAATGGCCAGAATTTGAGAATTCAGATTTACAGAGGGGTAAAGGAAGAAAGGGGAAGAAAGGGAAAACAGAGAAATTAGAGAGAAAACAGGAAGAAAGATTCCATTACAATATTGAATGAATCGTACAATGCAGGAGCGTGATCTTTTGATGACTCACCTTCTTCACCGTCAACTCTCAACGGATAGCTACAAGGAATGTTCTGGAATTTACTACCCTGATTCCTAGCTTACTGATAAACTATAAAATTAAAAGAAGAAGACTAAAATTAACGGTGCTGTCAATTCCTTTCTGTTGTCAGGTTGGAACGACGTCGTACTACTCTAAAATCCCCAAATCAAAAAACCTAATTGAACATAATTTAATTTAACTGCATTAAATATGTCTGAAGCGTGACACTTATTTATTTTCTTTTGGCCCAGTACTTTTGTACCCAAACAAATAACAACGCTTCAGCCCAACTTCCTTCGTAGTTTAACGAAATACATATATATAGAATATCGATTTTGTTTCGGCTTCTTTCTAAATATAAGGCTCTAGCTTCTCTCTAGAAGCTTGGAAACTCTGAACGGAACTGACCATCCCCCGGTCCTATGGACACGGAGATGGGAGAGCCTGCGCACTTGGAATTGTCGGAGGAAAATCCGGCAACCAAAAAAGTAAAGAACAGAGAAGAGGAGTTTGAGGTTCCATTAAATCCTTTCTCCTCCAAAGCTGATGTGTTAAACTCTCTGGGTGATGAGAAAGTCAAGGGAACCTGTCCTAGTCAATGATGATGAAGTAATTCACGAGGTCAAGAATGGAATTGGTTCTATAACATTCATGGATCCAGTTCAACAGAGGATGAAAAAATCAATGGGATTCTCGGTCATAATCAGCCCCTAGGGCGTACAGTTACCTACGGAGCTCTTATGAGTAGATTGGAGAAAATATGGCAATTGAAAGGTGTTATGGAGGTAACAGATCAAATAAACGGCTATTATGTCATCCGATTGAGTCACGAGGAAGATTATAACAATTCCATACTGAACAGGCCGTGGACAATCGGAACGACACACAAGACCTATCTAAGAGTGTACCCCTGGTCATCTAAGTTTAATGCAAAAATAGAACACTTGTAGGAGGTGACCGCGTGGATCAGAATTCCTGAGTTGCCAATTCAATATTTTCATGAAGCCTTTCTCTAAAACGTGGTCAAATCAGTAGGTTCATTTATCGGATGAAAGCACCTTGTCCGCTATAAGAGGGAAATATGCTCGAATTACTGTTTTGCTAGATTTAACAGAGTTTAAATGGAATGGTAGAGGTAGATGGCATATTTTATAAGGTGGAATATGAGGATTTACCAATAATTTGCTTCTCATATTTTGTAAGTATGGCATATTTTCCGGCATCAAAAGATGCAGAACTGGTACAACAAAAATTACCGGAAAATGGAGAAGCACAACAAATGGAGGCAGAGGAAACCGAGATGGTTCACGCAGCTGGACCAACTGGTTCGTCCGAAACGAATGCGGTTGAACCCCAACGGCCAGGTGGCATGGGGAACTAGATGCAATCTCCCAAGTGCACATGGAGGGGACCACCGCGACTCACTCCATGCAATCTCCCAAGAGAAAATGGGTTGATGGAACTAGAGGCAACATGCTTGTCAGCAACTCTTTTGAGGCTTTGAGTAGGGCAAATCAAGAAGAATGGGACAAAATTCCCGTGGGATCAACTGGGCTGATAAATTTCAAAATGGGTCAAGGAGCTACTCAAACACCTATATCTATATGGGCTTCAACAGGCAGCAAAAGAAAAATGAAAATAGAGATAAATCAACATGGATCTCAAAGAAGGATACCACAAAAGGAAAGGCTGAAACATCCAACAAGGCAGAAGTGTTGGACATGGCCCAAATGGAAAAGGATAGCACAATTCCAGCAGTGCAGGATCCAAGTTTATCCAATGAACCAAGACTTCCAAAAGAAAAAACAATTAGTAAACCATCAGTAGAAGAGAATTGTTGCACCAACAACAATTCGATCACAACTGATAGCAATCATAACAAGATTGGTATTTATACGATGGTCAACTTACCTCATCCGGGCCGTACTCCCAAATCTAAAGAGAGTCTGCCAAACTATTCATCCAATTTAGGCAAACCACCTGATCAATCGAAACATTTTAGTCTCAAATCAAAACTAAAGATCAAGGGATAAGAAGGGGGTAGCTTCTCACATAATTACCGGTTCACAAGGATTAAGGGTCCATTTAGTTGGTTTCCTTGGAAATTTAGGTGACTTTACTTAATGGAGTGGTGTAATCCTATGTGTTTTTTGGTAATCTTTGGTAGGGATTTGTTTTCATATGTGTTAAGAATTTGGTCGGACAAGGAATTTCGTTGTAACCTCTAAGCGCATTTGTGCTTCCTCAGTATTGAAAAAAAAAGAAAGAAATACATATATATACATACACTACCATTTCAAATCAGCATTGTATGAAAGGTTGTATTTTATGTGTTAGTTTGAAATGTATTAAAAAAACTATAGTAATTCTTATCAACCTCCATCCTTTGTAAAAATTTGAGAGACAAAAACTTGCCAATAAGGGATTGCCCAAGTGGCAGTGGGCATGGCATCAAAACTTGAGGTCCCAAGAGATCTCAGGTTCAAACACCGTCAGGTGCACTTTAAGTGCTGCCTATACAGGTTTACAGTCAGGAAGTGAGAGGCAGTCCCGGAGATCAGCTTGCAGCCTAGGAGGGCGCACAAAGGCGTACACGTGCGGAGTCTCTCCCTAGTAGTAATATCCCCTTCCCCTAATAAATCCCACATATGTAATAGCGTAAGATACCTATAATGGTATATATATATATATATATATATACATATATATAGATCAGCTTGCAGCCTAGGAGGGCCCACAAAGGCGTGCACGTGTGGAGTCTCTCTCAACTAGTAGTATCCCCTTTCCCTAATAAATCCCACATATGTAATAGCCTAGGATACCTATAATGGTGTATATATATATATATATATATATATATATATATATATATATATAAATAAATAAATAAATAAAGGCGAAAACTTGTTTTTACCTTCAATCTAAATAGAATATCAACGTATTAATATGTGAGCAGCAATTGTGTACGAACATGTAAGTTGAAACACTTTTCTTAACGAAAAAATTCATTGGAAAATAATGAAAATTAATTTAAGTACTATACGTCTTTATCGTTCTAACTAAATAAAAAATAAACTTTCAAGATCAAAGCAATTGATGTTAACTAAGAAGAATAAAAGAAAAAGAAACATATAGAAAGGTAGGGCTGTTGTGCATAAAGTGATAGAATTACGCTCAATCCTCTATCTTGAGGCATCTTATTCCATCCAAAATATTCAAAATGACGCTGTATTAAACTGGTCGAAGTACACTATTATTTTTTGCATTTAAAAGGAAGAAACAAAGACAAAAACTTGGTTTTAAGATGAAAATATCCAATCTCTCAGTCGAAAAACAATTACAACTTAATGGCTTTTAGTGAAAGTACAACTATGTCAAATTGTCAATAGATTTTACGATTGGAAATTTCAAAATTTTGCGTAATAATTTATTTTTCATGATACGTACTTTTTTATTTGATTATTTATGCTAATATCATTTTTTTTTTCCATGTGCCGTGACACTTTCCATTGCAACATTCAACAATTTTGCATAAATATTGTCGTTTGCGCTAATATTTATACTCATTCACAATTACTTGTGAAATTATACATTTTGGAAGTTAGGGTTCACTTTTTTCAGATTAGGCTATATTTATTTTAATTTTCATAGTTTAAAAAATTCAAAAAAATAGACAAATTTCATTAAAAATAAAACATCGATAAAAAAATAAAATGACAATATGAAAATAATCTAGAGTGAAAATATGTGTTTATGGTATATATGTATAAACACAAATTTTGATTTTTAAAGAAGAATTAAATTTTCTTGTGACACTCACTGTGGCACAATCCAATTACTCCTTATAAATTATATAGTTTGTATTAATACATATACTACCTACATTCACTTTCAACCTTACATAATTTAGGACTAAGGGTTCACTTTTTTCTGATTAAGACTTATTTATTTCGATTTTCATTGTCAAAAAATTCAATAAAAATAGTCAAATTTCATAAAAAAAAATAAAGTAAGAATATGAAAATTATATACTTTGAAAATACCACCACACCTTCATCTATTAGGTTTCATTTCCAAGTTGATTGGGTCAGGGTTCCTAAATCCAATCTATAACCAAAAAAATAAATAAAAAACAAAATGATGATAATTTCAAGATCAAGAAGAAATAATTTGAAATTCAAATGACTTCATAATTTAAAAAATCAAAATGGTACTTAAAATTTCTTATATTGCTGATAATCCCTTAACGATTCAGTATAATAACATACTCCTTTGAATATCAACTTATGACCTTTTTGTTCAAAATTCAACTTTTCATAATTTTTTTTCTTATTTCCTTATATATTTTAATGTTTTTGTAGTGTACAAAACAAGAGAAGATCACAAAACCATACAATATGCCAGAGAAAGAACAAAAGTTAATAGTTATACCTATGTCCTTATATACTTTCAAAATAGGGAAAAGGACAAAAACCTCTCAGTTATGTCCCAAACACTAATACCACACCAAGTTTTTCTATAAGGACAATTTCTTCCCTTGATATCCAGTCAACGCCATAATTGACCCCCTGAGGGCAAAAATGACCAAATTACCCTTTTCATCTTAAAACAAATTTTTGTGGACAAGTTCTATCTTTTTTCAAAAATTTATTTTGTTTAACAAATCATCAAAAGATTTATTTAAATATAAGACATATTATTTAAGGATAAGACACATTTATTTGAGGATATGATTTATTCAAAACCTATTTTGTTTAATTTATCTATGATTTAATTTTTTTTTAAAAAAATGATAGACTTCAACCATATTCTACATTGATTTTAATAATAATGAACAAATTCAAAAGATGAATAATGTTGAAATTATGCTAACTTTTGGAAAAATTATATATTTTTTTGGAAACAAAATTCAATCCTAACTAAATTAGTTCTTACAAAAATTAATTATTTTTTTTTAAAAAGTTTTTGTAACAAAAATCGGTGAATATTTTTATTCCTAAATGAAATTTTCAAATGATTTGTTAAATAAAATAAGCCATTGAAAAAAAAAGATAAAATATGGATAAAAAAGGTTTTTTTTAGACATAAGGGTATTTTTGTCATTTTAACTCTCAAGGGGGTCAATGATGGGGTGACTGGAGGTCAAGGAGGAAAATCATCCTTATCGGAAAACTCGGGGTGGTATTAGTCTTTAGGACATAACTCGGAAGATTTTGTCTTTTTCCCTTCAAAATATGGTTATAATTAATTTAAAATCTCTAATAACCAAAATATTAGTTCGTTTTCGCAAGCATCGCGTGGATTTTTTTGTTTTTTCTAAATAGATGGAATAATAATAAAGTAGAAATAATTATAATGTTGGATTGAAAAGAATTAAAACTTGTAGGGGAGTTAATTGACAAGAAAAAGAGTTGATGGGTACTTCTCATAATAATCCGATAAAAAGATAATGATGATGATTGATATCAACTTGCCGCTTATTCTTCGGTTTTCTCTCGAATTATTCCTTTTTCCGTGAGAGTCTTCTTCTTCCCCCATCTTTCCAGAGAGAAGAGAAGTAGAAAAAGAAACAAAAGCGAGAGAGAGAGAGAGAGACGATGTCGGACGAAGAGCACCACTTCGAGCAAAAGGCTGATGCCGGAGCCTCCAAGACCTACCCCCAACAAGCTGGAACCATCCGTAAGAATGGCTACATCGTCATTAAGAACAGGCCCTGCAAGGTATGTATCAGGTTTTCGAATTTTTCCCTTTTTGATTTCTTCTTTGATTGGATTTTTAATTCGTTTTTGACGCTTTCTGTGAATTTTTTGGTGATGAATTACGGATGGGTTTCTGTTTTTTTTATATCTAGATCTTGATGGAGGGTTTTGCCCTATTAAATTATGGCACTGAATTCCGGGTCAATGTTTGGTTGTCTTTGTGTCTGACGGTTTTGATTCCTGTTATATGATTTGTCCGCTGAAAGTTCATGCTGTGTGCTGCTAGATCCAGTGGGAATTGTGTTGGAAACCCTGATTTTGAATTTTGACCGCTAGTTTTGAAATAAACAACAGGGAGTTTAATATTATGCTCTAATACCTAATCCTGAATCATGTGGGTCGTATTGGGTTGTACTGTTTTAGCTTCTCATTCTTTTGTAAATGTGGTCTCAACTAAAAAGGGGCATTGCTCATTTACTTCTCGCTTTTACACCTTTTGGGGGTGAACGAAAAGGAGCTGCAATTGCAGTGCTTTATATGCCTGATACTTGAATTTGAAGATTTTGAAGGTTCTTGAGTATTAGCGCCCGGAAAGGGTTAGGAAATCGCGCACACTTACACACAGTGGTTCCCGGGTACCATGTTACATGACATCTATGTTTGTTTGGAGTTTTTCTCTTTTCTGTGGTGTGCATCATAAGGGAAGTTTATCTTTTTGTAAGGATTCTCACCATTTTATGAAAATCTGTTAATCTTTTTGCAGGTTGTTGAAGTCTCCACTTCCAAAACTGGCAAGCATGGACATGCAAAGTGCCACTTTGTTGGAATTGATATTTTCAGTGGCAAGAAGCTCGAAGATATTGTTCCGTCCTCCCATAACTGTGATGTAATGCGAACTATTAATCTTTTCTTTGCTTTTACCTTTTGTATCGCTTGCTTTAGGAGAAATTGCAATTAAAATTTTATTTCCCCTGTTCCAGGTCCCTCATGTCAACCGCGCTGATTACCAGCTGATTGACATCTCTGAAGATGGATTTGTAAGTATTTGTTTACCTAGTTCTTCTCTGTCATACTGAACTCTTGTGTTTGTATGAAAGTCAAAAAATCGGAACATTGGGGGAAAATTAGTTCTCTATGGGTATGATGCATGATATATATTAGCCATATTCCTGCATTAACAGTGTACGAATTCAAAACTTTATTTCCTCTGTTTATGAAATGTTTCTTACTTGAAATGAAAAGCCATATCTAATAGGGTATGAACTAAGTTCTGATTAAATTTGATTAAGGATCCTGAATATTCAGTTTAGACATTGGCAATTCCTATTGTGTTT